TGGCACACGACATTCGTCAGTGAGCTCAGCAAAGGCCAGCAGCTCATGCAGAAGGAACTCGGGGCCGCCACTACTAGGGGCCCCACAGACACCAACAGGTGAGCCGGAGCGAGGTAAAAAAGGCGCCAGGTCGAGCGTCGTGCATTGTTTGCTGTCTTGCAGCGCGTCGGCCTTGCCGGCACCACTAGCACCTGCAGATGAGAAGCGGCTGAAGGAGGACATGCTGGCCGCCACTGCAGCGCTGTGCCGCCACCCGTCGTCACGCCTCTTCCGGTGGCCCTACCCCCACCCGGAGTACACCCGTATGTCTCGAGAGGGTCGGGCTCTGTCGATCAGTGACCTGGAAATGATGGTACCTCTGTACGTCAAGAAGGTGAGCGGAGGGACTACACACGAATGTTCAGCTATGTGTGTCGGTGTTGTTGCAATCGGTGCGTATCGTATCAGGGCTCAGCCATGGGATGGCTTCGTTGGTACGACTACATCGCGACGATCGCCCACAATGCGATCGATTTCACCAAGGCGGGCTCGGTATGTGCGCAGTGATCACCAAGCAACCGAACAAGCAGCCAGCCGTTCCACTCTGTTGTCCTCTCTCTACCAATGTGCAGGAGGTTGAGCAGGCTGCCAAAGCGCTGCTTTCTGTGGCCGCCCGCCTCGTCCGCCCCCACGACACACTCGTCGAGCTGTCGATCCGGAAGGCGATCGGTTCACAGGCTGACGCGACCATCTACGACACGGGCTGTGCAGACGAGGATGTGCTCGACGGTCGCAGCGAGCTGACGTGTGTCGAGCTGGCCGACGTATGGGACTCCTGCAGAAAAGAGCAGTATTTGCCCTGGGCCGAGGCATTTGAGGCCGAGATGGGCGGGGCGGCGCCACTGGCAGCCACCGACTCAGCCAGGTGAGATCCATCCATCCATCAAGTAGCCCATTCACTCACAGACAAACACACACGAGGTGCGTCTGCATGGTCCTGTCTGCAGGGTGGGTCGCTCGCCGAGCCCCACGGGTGAGTCCTACCGCTCCGCCACGTCATCATCGCCCACACGAGTGCGGCCGGACCGATCGGCGAGCACCGGAGGCCCCAATGACACGGGCATGGAAGCAGCGGACAAGTGTGCCACACTGGACATCAACATCTTGGAGGCGTCGGACGGCAAGCTCGAGGCGGCATTGGACGCACACAGGGTGGAGAAGAATGAGCTCGACAGGACCATCAAACGTCTCCAAGACGATGTCAAAAAGTGACCAGAGAGGGAGAGAGGGAGGGAAGGAGTTGATTGGCTGCAATACACCCACACGTGTTTATGTGGATGTGTGCGTCGGTGTGTAGGTTGACCGGTGAGTTGGATGCGTCGCGGGAGATGGCTGAGAAGGAGAGGAAGGCGGCCGACGCGCAGCGCAGTACTCTCGAGGACATCCTCAAAGACAAAGACAAACAAATCAAACAGGCGCAAAAGACGTAAGCACACCAGCACACACATGGAGACGCCCATCCACTATCCTCTCTGTCCCTCCCTCCCCCTCCCCATCTGGTGTGTGCAGTGCCGACGATCGTGTGCGTCGAGTGAGCCAGCAGGTGCGTGAGGAGGCCGACAAGGTTGCCAAGACACACATGGTCACCGTCACCAAGCAGCACAAAGAGGAGCTGGACCGACTGCGTGGCGAGCACCGGTCGGCCTTTTTGGAACTGAGGGCGCAGCACCGGACGGCCATGGAGCAGCAGACAGAGATGCGTGTGGCGGCCGAGAGGGCCCTGGCCGACGGGACGCGCGAGAGGGACCAGCTGAGGCAGCGGCTGAGGGAAGAACGACTCAGGTCAGCCAGCCAGCCAAGCAGACAGAGAGAAGGAGGCCATCATCCGACAGATGCAGCTGGTCCGATGACATGTGTGTGTTGATGTGTGTGTGCAGGTCAGCGCGTGTAGATCAGGAGAGAGACGGCGAGTTGCGTCGGCTGCGCGAGGCGGAGGCGCCGCTGAGACGCGAGATACTCACCCTCAAACAACAGCTGTCATCGGCACAACCACCACACAGGTCACCAGACACACACACCCCAACAGCAGCCGTGGACATGTCGTCTCGCCCTCACTGTGTGTGGTGCAGTCGTGTCAGTGCTGAAGGTGTGTCGTCTCTCGATTTGCCGTCGGTGCGTCGTTTGCTGGATGGCTTGACGTCTGAGCAGCACCGGCTGGCTCAGCTGCACCAGGCCGCCATCGAGCGACAGATCCAGCTACTACAGCACCGCCAGCAGCCCAACCAGACACCATCATCGGCGTCTTCGTCGGCTGCACCCTCCGCGCCCTCAATGCCCTTCTCCCTCACCATGGACGGCAGCAATGATCCGGAAGCATCATCAGCAGCACCAGCAGCCAACGGCAGCAGCAGCAGCAGCTCGGCGCACGCAAAGGGTCCGTGTGCCGCTGCAGCAGCTGCCAGTAGTTGTGATGGTGGTGGTGGTGTTGGGCCGGGAGAGAGCAAGTGCCAGCTGTGTCTCGAGAACCCGCCAGACATCATCCTGCTGCCCTGCGGACACCGAGTGAGTCCGAAGGCTTACACGGCTGCATGGGACAGAGAGAAAGAGCAATACGTTTCTGTGTGTCGTCTGTGTGTGTCTGTCAGGTAGTGTGTCAGGAGTGTTTTGAGAAGTGGATGGCCCCCATGCCGACCGAAGACAAACTCTGCCCCGAACACACGTAATCAACACAGACCAGATGAGCCAGCCAAGTGTATGTGTGTTGTGTGTTCTGTAGGTGTCGGCAGCGGTATTCCGAGGTCAGATACGTTTTCGCGTGACTGACAGGCGGAAGGATGGATGGATGGGTGTGGCGGTGGTACGGCGACCTCGCCTTAGTTGATCAGTGCAAGGGAGGGAGGGAGGCAGTTTGTGCAGGATCGATCGATCGATCCAGAGCCTTCCTTCATAATTCGTCCTGCCGCGGTGTGCATATATACACACGTACACACACACGTGTATATGCCTAGCATAGTGAACACGGATGCATGCAGTCTGATCGATGGACGACCATTGATTGATCGATGCGTCTCTCATTCTGGTCATTCATCAATGCATGATCGATCAGCGGCCGACGGAAACACGGGAGGGACATGTAGCCAATCCATCCATTCATCCATGTAGCCAACTGACCCCCGCCCACTCTCCCGCCGCCATGGCCCTCCGTCATTAATGCATTCACGGCCGATCAAAACGCAACGTGTACCGACCACATACTGATGGGCCTGTCTGTCTTCTGTCTGTCTGTCTGTCTGTCTCTCTCCCACCACGCCATGCGTCCCCGATTGATTGGAAAAAGTAAGCCATCCGCTGGCTCTGGACATCACGTACGAGCCAGGCAGGCAGGCAAAGCTGAGCCATTCATTACATGTAGGAAGACAGCCAGCTAGAGAGCTAGCGCTAGACAGGCAGGCAGACATTCACACACCACACCCGCGTACACGCAACCATGCATATGCGTCGGTTTGTGTGTCGGTTGCACACATCGCATGCACCGCATCCAGTACACGATTGCTGTCAGTATATATATACTGGGTAAGGGCAACCAGTCAGTCAGTCAGTGCAACACGCGCCCTGCGCCCACTTCTCACTCAAAGACCAATAACAACGACAGGCAAGCCATCCAACGAAAAGGAGGCAGTGCCGCACCGATACGCATGGACAGCTGAGCCCAGCCGTCTCGTGGGGGCCTGCCTTGATTCAGAACTGACTACACTTGAGTCTCCGTCTGTTGCTGCGGGCGCACCGGCACGTACGCCATCCCACCGTCGTAGGTAGCCAGCTGTGTCATGACCGGGACTGGCGGGCCGATGTCGTTCTTGAACCCACGGGCCCTCAACACATGTCTGAACACAGTAACACAGCGGAAGACCTACGGACGACCTGTGCTTTGTGTCTGCCTTTTGCTGGCTTGCCTGTACTCCTGGCAGATGGTGCAGGGCCAACACCAGAACACGAGACAGCAGTCGCCAATGCCGTCGACCGCCTTGATGTCGTATCGCCTGCATGACGGACGGACGGACCAACGAAATCACACACACATACAAACCCGCCCCGCCGATGGGTCTGCTATCTGTGACTAACCTGCGGAGCTTGGTGCGGTAGATAAGACTGAGAACAAACCACACAACGACGATTGCCCTCATGGGCCAGAGCCACACGGGGTTGTACTCCGCCTGATATACGTAGCCGGAGAAGCGTCCGTCCGGGCTGTGCCAGGTGTGGGTGGACGAGCTGATGGGGTGTGTGGTCATCCAGATGTAGAAGCAAATGTAGGCCAGACTGAGGCCGCCGAACACCAACGCAGCCACGCGAAACGACAGGATCTTCACCTGCGTCAATGGCCACGCCTGTGAGTGAACAGCCAGCCACCAGACGGAGAGAGGGGAATGAGAAAGCAGTCTTCGGCACCTCTGTTTCGCACTCAGCTCACCTTGAACCAGCACAAGATGGGCCACAAACAGAGGGTTCCAACGGTCCCCAGGAGGCAGCTGGGCAAGTCGGAGAAACAGCCGAACACGTCGTCACTCCAGCGACCTGGACGCCACACACACAAAACCGCACATGGTGGGCAGTGTCATCTCCGCGTTCTGCGTAGGCTGCGGCGGTGCGCCGCGGTGTTCACCTCGCCACATGTTCTCTGCCCCCTGCTCCTCTGTTGGTGGTCCCGCTGCTACCACAGGCATCGGCAGCGGTGCTGGCGGTCCAGCCGCTACCACAGGCATCAGCAGCTGTTGCGTCGAATCTGCTGGTGCAGCCATACCGTCCTCAGCAGCTGTTCTGCCGTGTGACATAGAGGGGACAGATCGACAACTTGAGAGATCCGAGGAGAGGAGGGGATGCTGCGAGCTGAATGGAACCCCCGCGAACGCGGGTCGACGAACGGGTACGAGGGGGTAGGGGTTGCCTCGTAACGGAAGGCGATCGGAAAGGGACACCTTACAAAACTGCCAGGATCGAAAAGGTCCACACTAACTTTTAGTTAGCTCGCATAGCTCGCACAGCTCGAGAGCACTTCTTAAAAGGCAGATGACCACCATCGTGTGAGGCGATTTGGCGGCCATTCCTGAAGACCTGGGGAAGCCGAATGAAGAGGTGCTTGCTCCGTGAATTACGATGCTGGCCGAGAAACTAAGAATCGGCTGCACTTGTATACGTGACTGAAGAGAGGGCGTAGACAGGAAAGGGAGGTGGCAATGTGGACGACGCAGTGTCGCCCCCTCCCCCTTGAATGGGGGAGGGGGCTGCAAAAGGTCAGCTTCTATGAGCCAATGGTCAGAAGCAGAAGAGAGCGCGTCGACCACGGATGGATTGAAGGTGATGATGGCTGTCGTGTAGGATTCCGGCACACAGATCTAGTCGTCTGAGCGCTCCTGCGTCTGCCTGCAGGTGTGTTGATGTTTCGTTGAGCCGCATTGCCGCCCTCTCTGTTGCCAGGTGAAGTGATGGCCGTCACGCAGGATTCTGGCACGCAGATCTACTCGTCTGAGTGCTCCTGTGTCTGTCTGGCAGGTGTGTTGATGTTTCGTTGACGCATTGTCGCCCTCTCTGTTGCCAGGTGAGGTTATGGCCGTCACGGAGGATTCTGGCACGCAGATCTATTCGTCTGAGTGCTTTGTATGACCGTTACCGTCTATCACAGGGGGTTGAGAAGGGAGCAAACGGCACAAGCAGGCTTACAGGTTGACGCTGCTGATCCTTACACTGCTTATCTCCAAGACATCAGACGAGGCAAGCACGTTTATCGGAACACATTGGAAAACATCCGGGCCACTTCTCGTGGTAAACTTACTTTCGGCGGGCGGGGCGTCCACAATGGAGGGTTAAAAAAGGACCAGGCAGCACAGGCGTGCTGAAAGTTTCACGCTGCTCGTCTTTACGAAATCAGCACGCAAGCGCACCCATCGGAAAACATGTGGGAGCATGCGCATGCCTCTCACACTTCTAGCAAGCTGGTTTCCCAAATTGCTCCCACAAGATGAGGCACAAACACCGGTGTGCTTTCAGAAGACTGTGAAAGATAGACATACGAAGTTTCGCACGAAAATTCGGCCGTTTTTCCTTGCAAACCCGTCCCTTCCAACAGCCGTTCGGGGCTTCTCTGGCGAGCTGCTCTCGTCAAATTGGTCCTACAGGATGGGCCACAAACATGCGTGTGCTCTCAAGAGACTGTGACAGACGCACATATCAAGTACATTCACGACGCGTCTTCTTCGGGCGCATGTTCCATGTCAGTGGCGTCCCACTAGTGGACATGGCGTCTATGGCATGGCAGTTGACGGAGCAGGTGAAAGTGGCGTGGGCGGAGCGTTGCAAGCGGCTGGCGGAGACGCTCGCTTAAAAGCGGTCGAACTTGCAATGCTAGGTCTGTGAAAGATTTCACAGAGGGCCGCTGTCAGCGATAGAGGCGGTTTTGTCCTAATTTTCCAAGGTGCTAGTGTGAAGATACAATGGATTCGTTCGCGTTGCCCCGACAAACGGTCTTGTGTCTCTGAAAAGCAGCGCAATTCGCCGGCATCATACAGGTCGCCGGGAACCCATGCGGTGACCTCGTGTGACGGTGATGGTAGTCAACAGCCTGTCCTAATTTTCCAAGGTGTTACTGTGAGGCTACAATCGATTGGTTCGCGTTGCCCCGACAAACGGTCTTGTGTCTCCGAAAATCCACGTAGTTCGCCAGCGTCACTTCGCAGGCCGCCGGAGACTTATCTAGCGGCCTCGTGTGACGGTGATGGTAGTCAGCAGCCTGTCCTAATTTTCCAAGGTGCTCGCGTGAAGATACAATCGATTGGTTCGCGTTGCCCCGAGAAACGATTTTGTGTCTCCGAAAATCCACGTAATTCGCCGGCGTCACTTCGCAGGCCGTTGGAGACTTATCTAGCGGCCTCGTGTGACGGTGATGGTAGTTAGCAGCCTGTCCTAATTTTCCAAGGTGCTCGCGTGAAGATACAATCGATTGGTTCGCGTTGCCCCGACAAACGGTCTTGTGCCTCCGTTACCGTCTATTACAGGGAGTTGAGAATAGAGCAAACAGCACAAGCAGGCTTACAGGTGGACGCTGCTGAGCTGATCCTTACACTGCTTATCTCCAAGACATCACGAGACAAGCACGTTTATCGGAACACATTGGAAAACATCCGGGCCGCTTCTCGTGGTAAACTTACTTTCGGCGGGCGGGGCGTCCACAATGGAGGGTGAAAAAAGGATCAGGCAGCACAGGCGTGCTGAAAGTTTCACGCTGCTCGTCTTTACGAAATCAGCACGCAAGCGTTGCCATCGGAAAACATGTGGGAGCATGCGCATGCCTCTCACTGAAAAATTTTGTATTGATCAAGGCCCTTACACTGTCGCTGCAAAGGGAGTGAAGCCAAAACTACCGTGAGCTGATTGTTGTCAAGTGAACTTGGCGTGTGATTGATAGACACATGGAGAGAAACAGACAAGCGCCAGATAAAAATGTGCTCTAGCATATCTCACGTTCCACTCATATCATATCTCATATTCCACTCACCCTTCAGACGGCGCCGCGTCCACTCGCTTCGGCTCAACACACTCTACGCCAGTCAAACTGTGACACCAATCCGAGTGCTCATCCTTAAACCTCCCGATGAGCTCGTTCATTCGCAGCAGTATCTCATCAATCCCGGACACCCCTCGCAAAGGGCGCACGCGAGCGATTTTCACCCAGTCCCACCTGCGTTCGAAGGCCTCGAACACTCGCCTGACCCGCGGGTCCGTCCCTGCTCCACCGAAGTTGGCCACATACCCAATCAGATACCACGGCCGCAGATGGATTCGCTGGGTGAATGGAGGGCCTCGACCGCCGTTGTGCTCAGCCAGCCGGTCGCGGAGACGGGCTGTGGACCCAATGTAGAACTCCGATGGGTCTCGTGTGCTGCCGAGAGCATACGCATAGCCGACGTTGTCATTGGGGATGTCTATGGTCTTGCGGATGAACGGATAGTGGCTGTAGTCCACTACCGGAACCCTCGCACTGGTGACCCCTGCTTGAGTCGATGTGCAGTCCAGCCGCCTGACCTTCTCAATGCAGTTCTCCAGCCAGGCCGACCGCTGGCGTATGAGCAGCTCGAGACACCGCCTCACCTCCTGTCGCGTGTTGCGAAAATAGATGCCGTTCAGCCGGCGGGTGCGTGACAGCAGCACCACCAGCATCGCCTTCTCCCATACATGGTACGCAGAGTCCGCCAGGTCGGCGGGGGACAAGATGCGGGTCCTCATAACATCGAAGGTGTCCCCGATGGCCTTGTGGATGGTCAGCGCGCTGTGGTGGACGAGATGAAACATGTTTCGGCGCCCCATGGTCATCCGGGAATCCAGAACGTGCGGAGACGTGTCGATGCGGGGCACGCGAATCAGCGGCCACTGCTGAATCACGGCTGACGTCGCGGCCTGAAGCTGGCCGATGTCCACATCCAAAGGTGCCACCCGTACCGCAATGTATGGGCTCTGCGGATCCGCACAGTGAGACGCGTCGCCGACAAAGCACAGGCGCCCATTGGAGATGCCTCGGTCGTTGAGGTTGCTGCTGAACCGCATGCACGCGCCGTCCCACACCGTGAGCTGATCCGGCTCACTAAGCTTCTTCGAAATGCGCTGCACTAACCGTCGATTGCGCGTCGGCTGCCACCTATATAATACCACCATCACACCCACAAACCCACGGGTCAAGGACAGACACACCTAGCGGTATCCAGATCATTCAAACGCATACCTGCCCGGCATGTTGGACGTCTCATCCACAGCGTGCACGGTGTGCATGATGACACTGGCCGACGTCTGCTGTACACGCCTGATGTACCGCTGGACGGCCGCCTTCTCCGCCTCCTGCTTGCCAAACACCATGGTCGCAGCGTCCGGGATATCGTCCCAGGTGTCCACGAAGTTGCAATTTTGCTCGACGATCTGCCACGCCTGAGCAATATCGGCGGGCGAGCTCTGCGGCTTCTCCATGAGACACACGAGCTCGTGGTGGTCCCGGTTCAGATAGCGGATGCTCTCCTTGAAGAGGGCCACGCGGAACGACGTGATGAGGAGGGTGGACGACCAGAAGGTGTCCCTATTCAGCTGTACCAGCTGCGGAACCGCCCCACTAGCCATCACAACCGCACCACCGAACGGCACCTGGTTGTCCCGGATGACTCGCAAGACGATGTCCATGGCGGCGATAGTCTGAGCACTGAGCAGCCCCACTTCCTCAATGAAAAAGCAGTGGGTGACCTGAAGCAGCGCCCACCGACCAGGCGCTTGGCTGAGCGAACTCACGGCAGCCTTGGCCTGGATGTGCGGCGGCTGCTTCTCGTGGCGCGGGTCAAGGTTGAACAGCTTGTGCACGTGGACGCTACCGAACTGCAGGGCCTTCTTGGACTGCAGTGCCGTGTACTCGATGTCGAAGCCCAGGCCTATCGCGTACAGCGCCAGCTGACAGAGCACGTGCGTCTTGCCGCTGCCGGCCATGCCTACTAGCAGCAGCCCCGGCACCCATGAAGTCAGCCCGCTCCTGGCCGCATCCAGGATTTCACACCACATCTCGTACACCTCGGTCTGCTCATTAAACGACGCCACCGTCTGGCCGACTGATGCAGCACGACGAATGCTCGGCTCCCAAGCAGGTGGCCCCATGCCCTGCGGCTGGGCCCTCGCCGATAAGGGTAGGTAGGGCTGTCTCAATGTCGACCTCTTCAGCTCCTCCACCAACGGGCCCCTCTGCGCAGCGGAGATATTTACGCATCCCACAAGCGTCTCCGCCAGCCGCTTGCGACGCTCCGCTCAGGCGGCCTTCACCTGCTCCGTCAACTCCCATGCCATAGACGCCATGTCCACCAGTGGGACGCCACCGACGTGGAACATGCGCCCGAAGAAGACGTCATGAGTGTACTCATGTGCGCGCTCCAGGGTGGTGTCGAAACCCTTGGTCGTGTATGACCCATTAAAGAGGTCCCGCCTCGCCCAGAGGCGCAGCAGCCGGTCCGCATCTCTGGCCGTAGCTTCCGGATCCTCATCGGGGCGCTCGTTGAGCAACCCCGCACGCGAGAAGCTCTCAGCCAGCGACGACACCGTGAACAGGTCCATGTCACAGACGAACCGACCGAACCGGTACAGCAAATGGATGAAGAACTTGTGGGGGTTGTCCGGCTTGACGGCGGAGAACACGATGACCACCTCTTTGGCGTTGTGCCTCGTTCGCGACTCCACGAACCGCTGTACAAAGGCCTCTTCGTTCTTGTTGACCACCGCTTGCTGCAGACGCTCGAGGAGAGCGATCATGGCACCGTGAGACGCGTACGCGCCGCTCGAGCCGCAGCGCTGTCGACAGGCCTCTACCGCCTCCATGAGGTACCGCTGGCAAAACTTGACGGTCTGCAAGCCGCCGTCGGTTAGAGGTGTGGCGGTCAAGTCCTCAGCGACGTCGTACCGGTTGCGTCGCGCAGTCGGGGGCCGCTGCGACAGGACCATCCACCTGCACCACACCACGCGTACACAAAGACACACCCATCCATCATCCATTGATTCATGCATCCATAAGTCACACCGTCTATCCTGCTTCGTCCCTCACTCACTTGAAGTACTCCTCGATAGAATCGATCCAGTGGAGCTCGGGTGGGCGGATGCCGAATACGCTGACCTGGTCCAACGGCTTCCACGTCAGGAACAGGTCGTAGATAACCCTGTGCTGACCCTCCGTGAACTGCCGCCAAAGTGCGTTGGGAAGGACGCGCTGCCTCGCCTCTACTGGCACCGGCTGCGTGCCCGAGCGGAAGCCCTGCGGGTTGCCCGGGCGAGGCTGTGCCGGCGCGTTCTGAACGCTGTCGACTGACAGCTCGAGATTCTTGGCCCTCCAGCCGCACCGCAGCTCCGGAGGCAGGGACGCGACATGGATGCAGTCGACCGAGGACGTCACATACGGAAAGTCGTACAGCTGCCACAGCATCTCGGAATAGGAGATCCGCAGCGCCTGCCGGTGACGCGTGTCTCGAGGCCTTCCCTTCGTCTTGCTGTCGCTAGCAGCTGGTCCGGGTGTGCCGTCCTGCGGTCCCTGTGGTGGTTGGCTATCACCACCAGCAGCAGCTGCTGCTGCCGCGCCTCCCTGACCCTGCGCCTGGCGCGCACGCGCTTGCACCCCGCCGATCTTCGTGTTCTGGATGCCGTAGCTGTTGACGCGAACGTCGGTGAGCGCGCCCCTGTCGGACTCACGGGCCACACTCAGGCTGGCCGTCGCCTTCTCCTCAGCACCCGCCACATACCTGCAAACATTCAAACAACGCAAACAACAAGCAAGAACTTCATGAACGCCATCACAGAAACATGCAGAATATGATATGATATGCATCGTCAACCTCGCGGCCTTACTTTTCGAGGTAGGCCTTCACCGACTGGTAGTCGACGATCTGGACGTTCACCGAGCAGCACAAGAGAAAGGCCATGTCGGGAATGAACTGGGACATCATCTCGTCGCCCTTCACACACGGAGGGTAGTGGCGGCCGCCCTCCAGCTCGACCACCGGGCGCAGCAGCGGATAATCCTCGCCGTCTGGCGTCGGACTCCTGCCGTCCAGCCCGGCCACATATGCGATGCGGTCCTCCGACTCCTCGGTCAGCCCCAACTTCTCGAGGATCCGCAAGACCTTGGCTGAGTGGTTCGACTGCGCCCGCTCGTAGATGTGGGTGTCCGTCACTCGATTGGGAGTCCGCCGACAGATCTTTCTGATGTTGCCCTCCCCGTCTGTCACCTCCTTCATACAGCGGCCGCCCGACTTGCTGCAGTCGTGCCGCAAGTGCTCGTTCAAAAAGTCCTCCCTGTCGAGAAAGTCCGCCTTGTCCTTGACAATCTTGAGGTCCTCCGTGAAGCGCTCGAGCGGATACCGCTGTTTCTGCCCCACCTCAGTCGACCGCCGTGCGCCCACAAAGTCGGTCGACGCCACCACGCGGTCCGTCACTTGGCGAGAGAGCCGCTCCTCTAACGTGCCCAGCAGGCCGTGCAGATGCGGGAACTGCCCGACCTCAGTCTGGAACTCTCTTCTGCAGCGCATCAGACCCACACAAAGACATGCTAGATCTGTGAAAGATTTCACAGAGGGCCGCTGCCAGCGATAGAGGCGCTTGCTGTACGGTGTGTCAACAGACAATACGCTGTCTAATGTCATCACCATCTCGCGAGGCCCCTGTATGGGCTGTAGTTGACTGTGAAATCGACAACGATAACTGTAAATTACCAAGAGACGCTTGTTTGACCGGGCAACGCGTACCACTTAAATATGTGCCCACATCGAAGTGCACACATAATAAGGACACGCTGTTTCATATTCTCGCGAGGCAGCGAATGGCAGCTACCCGTAGAACTGACCGTCATAGCTAATTGTGCATGCATTGAAGCTTTGGCGGACAACTATTGATGACTGTATCTCTCATTATGCATGCGCGAGAGGGTCTACGATGGTTCCGTCTCTGGTTTCGATACCTCAAATCGACCGAGCTCTTTTTCTAGACGGGCTAGCACGAGGCAGCGGGTATTTCTCTCTTGTTGCGCGACTCAACTTTGTCAGCCGCTCAATCTCGATCTTGAGAGTGGTCGGAAATTTCTTCTTCAAGTCTTGCCTCGAGTATTGCCGGAGAATCCCCAAGCCGTCCCCATCGGTCACCCGTGAGAACGCCACAAGCTGGCCGGGACGAATGTTTGTGTTGCTGACCCATGCGGCTGGCCTCAGATCGATAATCAGGCGCTCTTTCGTTGTGGACTGCAGCTTCCAGAAGGTCAATGCGCTGGCGCTGATTATCGGCAGCTGCGTTCGTCGGACGTTATATTTGTGCTTCGGAATTAGCTTCTCCTCGTCTGGTGACGCGGGGATTCGCGAGGGCATCTCGATAGTGAAGGTGTCGGTGTGAAGAAAGACCGGCGTGAGAGGCTTTCCGGACGGCGAAAACGGCACGCCATCGATAGGAGCGTGGTCCGCCTTCTCCACGTCCATGAAGACGCACAGCGGTAGCTCGGTCGCGACAATGATGTCGACCGGCCGATCGGACACTGTTGCTGTGTGCTTGGAGAAGAACGCGGAGGGGCTGAAAGCGGCCGAGTGGAAGGTCGCCTGGCTTCCATTGTTGATGTGCAGCTCTGTCGCATCATTGCAGGTGAGCAAGTACTGCTGATCCCGGATGAGGGCCAAAACCTACGGCATGTTGCCGGTCTTGATCTCAGAAATCATGGACAGGTGCCTGTGGAGCTCGCGAGACGGCCGTTTCTTCTGGCTGCGTTCAGTGATGTCCATATCGTCGGCCACGCACAAAAAAATCGGCTTCTGTTCTTTGTCGGCGGCACAGAGGGCATTCATCATCACTAGAGGGATCCGCAGCTCGGCCTCCCATACGCCAATGGGTGCGGTCTGCCATTTGGGGTCGGTCATGTCAATGGCGCTTCCAGTCCCGCCAATAACGCGTGTCTCCAGCCATCGATAGTCCTCTTCAGTGAGCTTCTCATTGCGGAACCGCTCGAAGAACGCCTGATACCTGCGGCCGCTCTCCGTCTGCTTGAATCGCATCCCATCCTCGAGAAGCACGACGGTATCGAAGAGGGTCTTGTACAGCCGCACACCTGCAAGACATCACCATGTCTCATCTGTCCCTGCTCTGTTCAATGCAGTGCTTTGTACCCTCGGAAGGCTTCATCGTCTTTGCATACAGCGCTGTCCCACCGATGGGCCCAAACTGTTTGACGTCTCCAGATAAGAGGATGCTCATGTTCTCGAACGGAGGCTGGTGCTCGGCATGCGGATCTTCGGTGGCCCGCAGCTCATGCAGGCGAGCGTTCATCTTTTCGAACAAGCTGGCGTACAGCGTCGAGTACTCGTCCACCAACAGATACCACGTTTGCTGCCACAGGACCTGAAATGACAGCTCCTTCCGCATGTCGTCAGTAGTGGCACTCCCTCGACCGCGGCGGCGGTGCTCCTGCCTGTTTCTGGGCTTGTACACCTCTATTTGGAGGGCCGAGTGTAGGGTCGAGCCTGAGATAGTAGAGGCAGCCACACCTGAGACAGGCAATCCGCACAAAGCGCAGCGCAGATACGCAGCCCAGGTGGGACAAATCAAACCAACAGCAAATGGAAATCAGTTCATCGTACCGGTCATCGCAGTCTTTCGAAACCAGAACGGCCGACCAATACCAGCGAAATACAGGGCCAGCGCCTGCACTACCCACAATTTGCCGCATCCGGGGCCGCCCGCAACAACCATGTTGAGTGGCGACACAGCAGCAAAGTCCCCGCAGTCCAAGGCGGCAAAGTTGTCATTCACGTGCTTGGCGACGATACGGACGACCCGCTCTTGTTCGGAATTGAGCGTGAACTTCTCGATAGCCAACTTCGCTACTCTCACGCGGTCGCCATCCGTCATGGCTTCAAACTGCATCGATTGAAGCCACCGTGTATAGTCTAGCGCGCCCGCTGCACTGCTGTCGCTCGCCTCACACATCGCCAGCAGCTCGGCGTCCGACATTCCCTGGATGCTCCGTCGTTGAGGTATGCCACCGGTATCGCGCGCTGCGTGTACTGTGGTTGGCGTGCCATCATCGACATCCATCTCTTCCGCGCCCTCTCCCAGCCCGGCCGCGGCGATGTCCGGCTGACCGCTCCTTCGTCGCTGCAGCATTGCAAAGAGGGTCTTCTGCATAGCCTTCACTGCTGCCAGGCCCTGGTTTCTCGCGACAATATCAGTCACTCCGGGATCTTGCAAAGAGACATATGCATGTATATCTCAGGCCTTTCTTTACATTAGTTCTGACTTGAGATGGCATATTGAGCGTGGCAGATGTGGACGGCTTATCGATGTGAACATTCAGCTGTGGCGTAGTCAGGCCGAAACGCTTGCAGACGGCGTCCATGCCCTCTCTCATGTGTTTCTGGCGGTCGGCGAGGAAGCGCTCAGGGACCGACAGACTGTAGTTAACACCCGCTATGCGATCCAGCTTCTTAAACAGCTCCACATCCGACGACCTTGCAGGGCTCGTCAGCTTGTCCACCATCACCTGCGCCTCCTTTAGCAGCGCCTGGCGAGCGTCATCCTCCTCGCGAAGTGCCTCGTCCATCTGGTCCAGCAAGTCTCGCGCGTCGAACGTGGCATTCTGTTCCTCCTGCTCACTTCGAAACGCCTTGTCGATCTTCGCGTCGGCCTGCGTGCGATGAGCGCCCTCAATGTTGTCAATCAGTTCGACTGTCCAACGCGCCACGGGGTCGTCGATGGATGTGTCTGCCGCTCGCTGTCGATGCCACGTTTCGAACTCGTCCAGCGCGTCCTGCCACGTTCGACACAAGCCTTTCAGCTGCTTCACTAAATTGAAGCCGGTCCGATTGGGTCTCTCGGTGCACGCCGCATCCACCGAAACAATGGATCGCGGTGAGTGCCCTTCAGAGGGACACTTTGAGTCAGGTGAGACATCACCGTGGATCGGCAGCTGCGACTCCGCCTCAACATATACAGCACTACAGCTGGCGTCCACGTCCTGCAGCAGCTGATTCAGGTCCAGGTCGAGCTGACAGGGCCGCTCCTGAAAGCTGCTGCCTACAAAGGGCTTGAGCAGAAGCAACAGCTTTGTAGCGCGGTCCTTGATGGCCCCCGGCTGCTTTAAGTAGCGGCTCGGAATGGCCATACTCAAAAGGGGCACAGCCGATTTGTCCACATCCCTCTAAATACACACATACAAATACGGAGACACGGGTTTTTGGGGCAAATTTTAGTGATTCATCCACCCACCCACACCTGTCGCAGCTGGCACTTAGTGTGCAGTGGGTGTTGCGCTGTAAAGTAGAAGGCCCTGTCTTTTTCAGCCAGCAACTCAGCGGCATCGGCAGCGTGAGTGTAAGCCGACAAGCGGCGCACCTCGCTCGCCTCTGTGCTCTTGTATATGCGTTCGAACAGCTCGTGAAACAGTCAGACGGGGACCCGTGTATTAGCAGCTTCACCGAGTCGCCTTCTCTGGTACACATGACATCGGAAGGAACTCTGATCTCCACTCCCTCGGTCACTCGAAACAGATAGTCCTGCGCCTTACTAGACAGGACCGTCGACGCTTGTCCATCGGCTTGGTGGACACGCATGAGCACCGTCTCATCGTTCTCCTCATCGTCGCTCACGTCGTCCTCTGTGAGACGCCCTTATCGCTCCTCGGCCGCCAAGAGCTTGAGGAAAGGGAGGGAGTGAAGGGGGTAGGTGGGGTGAGACATGTAGTAGTCTCCATCGTCTCCATAGCCCAGCAGATGCCACATGACCTGACACGCAGACATTTGGATGCGGGCGTTGAGGGAGTTGGTTATGCCGGTGATGAAAAGGCGATGCTGCTCGACGGCCTCCTCTGTATTTGCATAGCGCTCCAGGTACTTCTTGCAGCCCACTGCGACGATCGACACCAAGTCGTGCAGCTTGATATCCATCTTGGAGCTGTAGTTGGTGAGCTGCAGGCAACACATATAGAGACATGGCCCCAGGCAGAGAAAGTGAATAGCCCCAGAATCGGTCACTTACATAGTGCACCAATGCATACACCCGATCCGCAGTCAGGAGCAGGAACTTTATGTTGTTGTTCGACCGGATGGCGACCGTGACATGAAGAGAGTGGCCGGTCGTTCAGCGGTGGTGGCGACGAAAGCGAATGATGCCGCACTTGGTGATGGTGATAGTCATGTAGATCATCTTTTGCCATGCTCAGGCGGCACGGGATTAGGGTGCTCAGCTTGTTGGCCTCCTCCTTTAAATTGAGTGCCTCTCGACGAAGGGCGTCGTTGTTGGCCGTCTCGCCCTTCGCCAGGTCCCGCAGTCGACTGTTGTAGTCGCTCATGAGCCTCTTGGCTTTGCGCATCACCTGCTGCCACTTGAACTTGTTGCTCTTCTTGATGCACAACATGGTGTGCTTCTTGCAATGCAGCAGGCTGCGACATGCGACGGCCATAAACCGGCGGCTGAATTGGAGATTGAGGTACTCGCTGTCTTTGCTGTCGGCCAAAAAGATGCGCCCAATGAATGTGGCCGGATCCACATACTCTTTGGACTGCTCGACGTCCAGCCACGGGTCAACATTCATAGTGCTGTTGTCGCTGGTCTCGTGACCGGGGTAGTACAGCTTGGTGACCAGCTGTTTTTTCTGTGTCGTTGTCAGGGGTTCGAAGAGCCGTTTGGGGTCCGGATCGCTGAGGAAAGCGTCCTTCGCCTCGGCAGCCTTGGGAGCTACCTTTGGAAAGCCAAACAAGTCCTCAGCGTCTCTCGCACCTGCGTCGTCCTCCTCCATCACCTGCTCGTCATCGGCCGGCCCCACAAACTCGTCCATGGTCTCAAACGGGGCGAACGATGCGACGCATGAGCTCGCACTACCACAGGATTTTACGCTGAGGGGCTCTCCCTCATCGTCCGACTCCAACTGAGGGGCCCAGAATTCATCGTCGCCCTCCACAGACACATCATCATCCACGCTTCGCATGTCCTCTTCCACGTGCAGAGACGGCACAGGGGCATTCTTGGCAACGTCGAGGAGACGCTCGACGTCCTCAAAGTGCATCTCAGAGCCGAGCGAGACGCGCCCGTACCACGGCGACTTCACGTCCAGCACGGCATGCTGCTCGGGCGTCAGCTTTGCATGAAGCTCGAACTCATGCACGTCCTCGTGAATAGTGAAATCCAGCCACTACTCCAGCTCGTGACAGAACTGTCGGTCAGTCATCTTCTTTCGTAGCTCCCGTGGAGAGGGCGCCCCCTTCAGGAAGTCCAGGTGGTGAAAGTGGAGGATTCTACGCCCCTAGCTCTCTGAAGGGCCGATCGACGCCTTGCATTTGCCGCTGACACCAGGCCGAGGGTCTAAAGGGCGTCGCAATAGACATGCAAGGAATGCCCGCACGCAGATGTTGAACATCTCTGCAGCCACCGCGGGGTTGCGGGCCGCCATCTGGCGGCAGCGCTGGATGTGCTTGTTAAGAGGTGGACATTCGTTCAAGTCAAACACCTACTCCTTGCTGAGCACGCCCAACTGCCAGAGAAGCGTGCTCTTGAGGTCGTAGAAGTTTTGAGTCGAGAACAGTACCAGCACGTCGAACTCTACAATGTAAGACAGGATCTGCCTGCGGGCGTACTCTTTAGTGCCGGGAGAGCCCGGGACCCCACGCGAGACCGTCTTTACTTATCAGGACAACCACACAGAATACAAACAGTTCTCAGGTGAATCCTGAGTTTTTCTTTTTAACTTCTCACGTCGGCCATCCACGCCTGAAAGTCCGCGTCTTTCAAAGCGTAGGGCAGATTGATCGTCGCCAATTGCTGTGCTCGCTCCATCCATTTCTCGAGACTGGCAGGATGGATGTGCGAAAGCAGGCCATGCCGTGCCGGCTGCCGGACACGCAGCGAGGCCGCTCGATTTATTTCCTGGCGCTGGAGCATGTTGAAGACCAGAAACTTAAACACTTTATGCTCGCGCACGTTAGGCTTCCACTGCTGCAGCAGCTACTTGACATGCTCCTTGAGAGACACGCGCTGGCTGCCTCTACAATGCCCCCCTCCCGGCGCACCCCGGTCGAACGGAAAGAAGTCGGGAAAGCAGTCGACAAAGAAGTCGGGGTTCTTGTACTCGATGAGGAGGCCGTCGATATGGTAGTTAGCAGGAATGAACAGATTTCTCTTTCTTCCTATATCCACACACATGGCGATACTGTGTAGCAATCAAACTGCCAAGTTTTTATTGTTCTCTCTCTATGCGCATTCACACATAGCGATGTCGCCGTGAACTCATCGCGCCGTGCCGTTCCTGAGGCTGCTGGCTGCCCATCACTGACGGTGCTCAGCGTGTCGTCCATTGAGTAGCGATCGCCGTCCTCTTCTCGCTCTTGACGTCCCCCAAACCGTGTGAAGTGCTGCATAGCGCGGCGAGCCCGCTCCGATAGCGGGAGGTCGTCGTTTTTATTAGAGATCATCCCAGAGGTCGTCATACAGACCTCCTCGCGATTGTCCATCGACACATCGTAGATGTCTCTGTGTCGCCGATTGATGGTGTCGTCCTGCTTGAGGTTCTCTTCGAAGAGGTCCGACTCCTTCGCAAACTCCAACCACGGCCTGGGCACCTTTTTATATGAGGCCGCATCCCTACCAAACGCCGCCGGCTGTGGCAGCTTGATCACGTGCTTGGGGTCGAGCCATACCTCGTCCTCAGCATACCGATAGCAATTCCTTTACAGGAACTCCATCAGCGGCGTTATCTTGCTGCCGTCAACACCCAGCATGTGCCGGGCGTGTCTTTTGATGAAGTTGAAGTCCGCCTTCTCGTTCGGGCGTATATAGACAATACACATATACCGACTCATCTGATCAACGTCGCGAGGCAAGATTCTCTGAATCTCGTGGTGCAGCCGATCGATGTCCTGTGGGACGACAAATACAGTCCCAAACACTGCCAACTAGCGGTCTGCATCCGAGACGACGCCAGTACCGTCCCCCGCCGGGTACAGCTTGTAGATGCAGTGAAAGGGGATAGCCTTTGATACCAGTAACAGCTCACCCTCGGTCCGCTCGGTCACGATCTTGACCTCTTTGCAGTCCATCGGGCCACGCCATAGACCGTTAGCCAAACTGAGCCGCGGGCACGTCTTCACTGTGGGCCGCGTTAGGTGGCGCATGCACTCGATGCAGATGGTGACCATCTCGTCCTCCCACCGGATGGCGGCCAGTTGCAGTGGCGCTCCATCGAACTTGGCCATCACCGGGTGCTCGGGATACCGTTCGGAGTAGGTGAGCGCCTTCACACAGAGCGCGTCTCGGAGATTTGCAGGGTCGGGGCGGTCCTCGTCGCGGAACTGCAGGAGGTGCGCAAAGTTGGCGAGCGCATGCAAATCGATGCGCCTGACTTTGTCGGAAGAAATATCGTTCAGCGTATCCAATATGAACTGGGCTCGATCACGACGCTCCTTCTCACGCTGTGCAGCCACAATGTCTTTCAGCCTGAAGCGCTTATATCGCTGCCACTGCTGCTCGACCTCGCCTATGCACTGGCGCAGATCCGATTCGCCCAAGGATTTGCCCCTCTCGCTGAAGGTGCAGCGAAAGGCGCGACCGCACACCACACACGGGTGCTTGACGTGGCGGTAGTGGGCGGTGACTTCAGCGTACTGGTTGACACATCTACACAGCACCACCACACGAAAAGCGACACAATCTTCTTCTTTCGCACCATACCACAGTTCCTCATTGATTGAATACTCACATGCAGGCGTTGTCATGGGTGTACACCCATGGCGGGAACTGAGCATCTTCATCGCTCTGTGCCGCCTGCACAGTGTCGCGACTTCGCGCGGAGGGCTCAGAGGGAGAGAGCCCGAGTGTAGTAGCTCCCCACACCTCACCATCTTGCACCCCCTTCCCGACCTCCGGTTCCAGCCCTGCATCCCAGAATACGCCCTTGTCCCACAGAAAAGACCCCCATGGGAAGCGGTCGATGAACTCTTGAGACACCCTGTTGTTCTCCTTTATCTGCGCCAATCGCTTAATGACCCCTTCCATACACTCCCGCCTCTTGGCCTGTGTCGCGGTCTCGTGCTGCTTCACCCACCCTTTTTTCCGCGCCTCGGACTGCTTCTGTTGTGGCTCCTCTCGTGTAAACCCTCTCTCCTGAGCGTCGCTCCGCCGAGTCTCCCACCCTGCCTTGGCAGCGGCGGAGCGGCGGGCCCGCTGCTTTCGCTGCTCCGCTTCAGTCAGAGTCACGTGTTGCGCGTTGTTCCGCCGGGTCTCCCATGCTGCCTTGGCAGCGGCGAGGCGGCGGACCCGCAGCTCATCCTCAGTGACTCCCGCCTGTTGCGCGTTCGCTTGCCGAGTCTTCCAGCCACGCCGTCCTTCCCCGCTGATTGCCGCCTGTCCTATCTCCTGGCGCCGGCGCTCATGTGCGGCTGCATTCGAAGCCGAGCGAGTCGCACTCTTCCTCCGCTTCCTGGCCCGGTCGGCAGGCAGGCTGACCGACCGCTCAGTTCGCATAGCTCTCTCGCCTAAAAGATATGCAATCAAATGCTCTCAAATTACGCGAAAACGAAAGAGATCCGAAAACGAAAGAGTTTCCGCGGTATTAGGGCATTTAATCCGTGAAACACTGATTTGGGCCAGTAGTGATTTGGGGCCACTACCGGCCTTGAATGAGAAAGAGAACAGTGGTGGATCCTCTCATTCCTGCATGATGACATACACATCAATATATGTCAGCACCTCCATCCTGTGGGAGCCGCAGACGACAACCGTATATCACCAAGAGACGCAGGATTGTTTGTCAGGGCATCGCGTACTCATTGAGTGTGTGCCTACATCGAAGTGCACACATAATAAAGACACGCTGTTTAATATTATGACGGTCACACGAGGTCCCTGTATGTGCTGCAGTTGCCTGTGGCAGCCATAGTGACAACGGCGAATTACGGAGAGACGCAGGATTGTTTGTCAGGGCATCGCGTACCACTTGACTCTACGTTCACATCGAAGAGCACACATAAGAAGGACACGCTGTTTAATATTGTGACGGTCACACGATGTCCCTCTATGTGCTGCAGTTGCCTGTGGCAGCCATAGTGACAACAGCGAATTACGCAGAGACGCAGTATTGTTTGTCAGGGCATCGCGTACCAGTTGACTGTACGTTCGCATCGAAGTACACACATAATAAGGACACGCTGTTTAATATTATGACGGTCACACGAGGCCCTGTATGGACTGCAGTTGCCTATGAAAGCCATAGTGATAACGGCGAATTGCGCAGAGACGCAGGATTGTTTGTCTGAGCAACGCGAACCAGTCGATTGTATCTTCACATCAGCACCTTGGAAAATTAGGACAGGCTGTTCACTACGACTACCATCACACGAGGCCGCCGCATGGGCCGTGGGTGGCTCGTGAAACCTATAGTGACAACCGTAAATAATCACGAATAGGGCCGGTAGCAAATCGTTTTGCGAGGCGAACTCGCTTTGAGGCCCGGAAATGAGAGAGAGAACAGTGCTGAACCTTTAATATATGCATGATGATACATACTCATCAACAGTTGTCGGCACCGAAAGTGGTTCCCACATAACCACCATATATTGCATGATCAGCTAAGGCGACCAGCCCTACAGCCAGCTGCCAGGCTTATAACCTGGGAATAGCCTAGGCTGGCAGCTGCACAAAGCAACACAACAAGTATGTGTGTGCGCCTGCTCTCTGCTGTGTGGAGTGTGTTGTGTGTGTGGGTATATATCTATCAACGGCTTACCGGACCCACTCTTTGATCACCTCGCCGGCCACTCCGCTCTCCCGCATATACCGAATAATGTACTTCAGGACGCGGTTCCAGCACCGCAGCAGCATCGGCATGTACGACTGGATGGCGTCCTCGTCTTGGTTGCCCGCATCGTCAGTGAACCGCTCGAGAATCCTGTTGTACAGCACCGCAAAGCCTGATCGACACAGATAAACGCCTTCGTCCATTCAAACAACTACCCATCCACGCATCCATCCATTCATACCCCCAATCCCAGCGTACCGAACTGCCGCCGCATGTTGAGGGTGACCGTGTAGAAGTAGGTGGGCAGCTCTTTGCCGGTCACCAGGTCGTTCAGGAGCTCCTCACTGGAGATGCGCTCGTTGGTCACCCCACTCTCCACCTCCGTCCACGCCGACAGCTCCCGGACGCGCCTTCGCGCCTCGCTCGCATCCATGGGCAGCGCCGTCTCGATGACTTCCCTAGTGCTGTCCTGCCGCTGCTTCATGTACTCGGTCCCTCGGTCCAGTACGAGCGCCGAGTGTGTATGGCTGAGCTCCATGTTGATGTAGATGTTGTACATGAACCCAATATAGTTCTCGTTGGCTGCGGTTCGGAGGCAATGGTCGCGGATGCGCAGCTTGAAATGCTTCATTGCAGAGGCGATCCTGCGCTTGCCATTCTACGATGGGGAAGAGAGCATGGATGCGGGAAGGGCGCCGATGGAAGTGTGGTCCCTCTTGTCCACAAAAAAGAATGTCGGGGAACATGTCGGCCTCCGGGTGAGTGAGGCATGCACCGCGCGTCGAGTCCTTGGCCGTGAAGCTCTGCAAAAACCGCTGTGCCGACAGCTTTATCTTGCTGTCACCCTTCTTGAGACGCCGCAAAAGTCGAAAGCACGGATTGAACAGAAGGTGCGCCCAGATCCGGTCGCCATGTGGGCTGATGCTGTACAGAGGGAGCTGGCTGCTGTCCACGTCGAGAAGCCGGTCATCGGTCGCGTCCTCCGTGCCGAAGTCTGCGGGCCCCACGTCCGTCACCGCATCGGCAACCACCTGCTCCCACGCGGCATGCTCCGCCCGGTCCGCAGCGTCCTGTGGGTCGACAGGCTCCTCATCCAACGCACAGTTCCTCAGACACTCACTGATGATGTCCCACTCTACCTCGGCATGCCAAGTGTCTTCCTCTGGCGCGCCGTCCTGATGGCCGCCGCCACCGTCACCATCGACGTTCATGTCAACATCAGCAGCTGCACCGGTTGCCATACCAACGGCATTCTCACTCTCGCACTGTCTCTGCGATGCCCCGAGTCGATAGCACAGCAGCCGATAGCCGACGTCCTCCTCGCTCTCGGCCTCGCCGACCTCCCTGCTGACCTCGGCGAAATGTTTAGCACACAGACCCACCGGACAGCTTCACCTAACACGGCTTCCCCAGTGTGTCTTGAATGGGCAACAGTAGCGGACCACCTTCGCCTGGCATGTTGCGGGGCGCAGCTCGACGCTGTCCAGACTCGCATCGAACGGTGGATAGCAGCACCCCACGGACTCTTGCAGCAGTGAAAGCGGTGAGAGGACGGTCAGATAGTGGTTGTCGTGCTGGTGACACCTGACAATCGACTGGCCGCTCGTCAGCTCCCGGAGACGGACCTGAGCGTCCGTTCGAATGCTCGCAGCACGTCGCGCAAACATCATGCTTGTCCAGCTTGTCAGCACTCGCAATGCGCACGACTCGACTGCCTCGTTGGCCCTCAGACTCCATGCCCGTTGCGGTGCATGTCCATCAGATGCGAACCACCAGCCAGGATGGTCCGCTCCCCACCGCATCAGCGCGCAGGTTTGGTAGCTGTCAGCAGCATAGCGACGCTGCTGTCGCGAAAGCTGCACCGACGACTCACGTGGGAGCACCGATGCGATGCACACCAGGTCATACGCCTCGTCGAACAGGTCGAACGATGTAGCGATCTTTTCCAACATACCTACACCATCACGCACATCCATACAATACACATCAGCCCTTCCATGCCAGACCTCTGGTTTTTGTCACAGGCCTGAATACCTGGATCGACGCCGTCCTCGCTCGGTTGGCTGTTATTCATCAGAATCACCACCTCCGGATGCCTCGCAAAGACACAGCGCGCAAAAGCAGCCGTCGACCAATCGAAGGCCGCCCGGTCAGCCTCCGACAGGGCCGCGACACCTTGACTAAACGTCATGGCATGCCGCACGCCCTCCAGCGCGATCCCCCCTCGCCGAGCAAGCAGCCACGGCACGGTCAACACGCCGTCCCACGGGTGCATCCCACAAACGGCGAAGAGCATGTTTGACGAGAAAGCAGGGCGCGTCGAGAGCCCAGCGAACCACGATGTGAAGTTCGTGTAAGTCGCCCTCGCCTGCCGGCCGCGCCCATGACTGCGCTCCGTCCTTGTAGCACGCCGCTCAATCACGCCCACCGCAAAGTTGGCCGCGTCGGTGAGCCACGCCCGCTCTGCGGCATGGACGTCCATAACCTCATCCCCGTCGCCAGGATTGGCCGCACCAGATCCCACAGGCTCGTGCACCACCTTCAAACGCTCCATCATCAATCGCCACAACACCGGTGACACCGTGACCATACGACCAAAGAGCCACAGGTCCCCAAACTGGTGGTTGGCTGGGCACGGCACTGCTGGCACCGTCGCCCCGTGTACGGTCGTCGGGTGCACCATGCACAGAGGGCGAATGCCGATCGGCCGCTGCGTCGGCGCGTGACGGCCACGAGCACCTCCACCACCACCGTCAGCACCAGCATCCTCACCACCATCATCGTCACCATCATCTTCACCACCACCACCATTCGCAGTAGCACCACCGTCGTTGCCATCATTTGCGTCGCCCGCATCGACTCCACTCCCACCACCAGCTGCATCCCGACCACTGTTGCGCTGTGCACTGTCCTGCCTCTGCCGCCCCTGACCGTCACCTGCGTCGATCGACTCAGTCGCCATGAAGGCCGCATAGCCATCCAGCGCATCGCTGAAGGATATGTACGTGCCACCACAGTCGTCAACACCGTGGAACGGCTGCTGAGCGGCACGAGCCGCCTCTGCTGGAAACTCACGCTCGTACCCAACGCACTCCTCCTCAACCCAGTGAACATGGTTGACGTCCTCGTCATGCAGGTGGTATTCACGCAGCCCATCATTGCAACACAGCATAGAGCCTTCCAGCTGGTACAGCCGGGGATCCTGGCGGTTGAAGCTGGAGCGCCTGGTCAAGCTGAAGTTGGAGATGCCATCGTACTCCACGTTGGCATACACCATGCCCATCGCTGCAGAGTTGTGCCCCAAACGCCGCGGCTTAAACCGGTGTGGCTGCGTGTTGATGCGCGCAAGTCGGTCGGCATAGTTTAGGCATCAGTCGGCACGACAACACCGGGCACAAAAGGGTTGGTGGGCACATGCAGCCACAGAAGTGCGCCGTCTTTTTTCGGGTCGTGCTCCAAACACCCACAGTAGCCGAGGCCGGTCTCTCGGCTCCATGCAACAGCAGGCCCAGTACGCCACCCGAAGAAGTCGTCGTCCACATGAAGCAGCCAGTCCGTCCGAAAGCCGTCCGTCACTATGGTGTCGTCACCTGTATAGCTCGCGTCGATCAGGTGCCAGATCTGCCCGAATGGGTGCAGCGCAGTGTCCTCCAGGAACTCCCAATCACTAAATGGACACCGCACCTGCAATTAATGAATATATATATTATATGCCACCTCCATATTGCTCCCTCCAGCCACCTGACGCACCTCGAGAGCGGCATGCCTGTCGAACACTGCAACGGCTCGCCAGACGGTTCGCTGATTGATTGGACCGTATATGTCCTCAATGGCCCTCTCGCGCTCACAGGTGACATCCTTGAGTGCACTCCGGCGATCCATCTCATGCCTGTCGACCGGTCAATCAAACAATCAAACAAAAGCATGCCATCAAGCAATCCACCAAACACACATCTATCCTTTCTTGTCTGCTTGCCTGCTCAGTGTCCCCACGCAATAACGGGATTTTCGAAAGAAGCACCGCGTCTCCATGGCACACGCTGTATGCGTTGAAGAACTGCGCTGCATTCGCCCAGAAGACCGTGACAGATGGGGGCAGCAGGCGCAGCACCTTCTCGGCCTCTGCCAGACTCGCACCGCCGATCGTGTCAGCAATCGCTGCTGCTCATGTGACACTCCAATGCTTGCAACTGACATGCGCCAACAGGCCGTCTGTCTTGTCCTTTGACAGATGACGTACACACTCGTCACAGAGCACGAACTCGGGCACGTCAATCTCTCGACCACTGCCAAACTTCCCGATGAAGCCTCTCAGCGATCGTCGGTCTCGGTTTGCGAAGCTCAGGCTCTCCCGCTGAACGGTCCAGAGGCTCATCGGAATGTGGTGGCCCTCCACCGGCGCCCGCCCACAGTTGTGACAGCAGCCGCTCGCAAACGCGTACGTCGCCAGCTCGCTGCTCACGCGGGCGTCGACTGACGGGGCTGCCCGGCGCCGCTCTCGACCTGATTGTCGGTTTGCTTGACGATGCACTGCATACTCCGAGTAAGATGGACACCGCCTGCCCCTCGGGCACGTCTCCTCGCGACACTGCCGACACGCGTGAGGGCAGTTGCGACAATCGTGACCCTCTGCACCACAATTCGAGCACCGGCGCCTTCGTCGCGTGCCCTGCCGCGCTGCCGTTCCCTCCTGTTCCTCGGCCTCGTCACCGTCACTCTGCTGATTCACACCACCATCATGTCGCTGCTGGTTTGGGCGAGGCCGAGCCCTGAAGTGTGGACAGTGTCTGCCCCTTTCACACATCTCGTCACCGCACATCCGACACACTTCAGGGCAATTCCGGCAGTCGTGGTCCACCCCATCACAGTTGGAGCATCGCCGCCGCCTCCGAGTCCCCTCGCGCACCATCGGCTCGTCCTCCATCGGCTCGTCCTCCTCGACTTCATCATCCCCATCGCCAATCCCACCATCATCGTCCTCACCCTCACTCGCATGACCCTCTTCATCGTCAGACACACGAAACGATGCCTCAGAACCCACAAGATCCCCCAGATCTCCGACAAATGACTCGCTGTCGGCTGCATCATCATCACTGAACGCATGCACGAAATCTCCACTCTCCAGTGACACCCCGTCGTCGTCGAACGCCTCCATTGAACACTCCGCGGACACCAAAATCTCTCCCAACGCAGATCACTCGCGCTCACACTCCGATTCCTGATGCAAAGGCACACTACTCGAGATAACACGACAATGGCTGTTCTGTCTGCCTTCTGAACTTCGACAACTCTGAGCTGCTTGGAGTGGGGAAAACGGACCAAAGGGCAGAAAAAGCTTGCAAAGTGGGGGCACAACAAGCTCGCAAGATAAGCGTGAAACTCTCCCTCTCTAACTCTCTGCCAAACCCAGAACCCCAGAAAGATACGTCGACTGATGGAGTACAGGGCATGTTGAGTTTGTGTGGAAAGGTTTGTTGGAGCCGGTCCTCGCTCTTGCTTGGGACCCACCAGTGTAGTATTCATATTGTGTCTTCTTGGCCGTCCCTCCCTCTATCTCAATCTGTCTCCCTTCATGCTTTTCATCACGCCTCTCTTCCAATACGTCCCAAGTGGCAGGCCTTTTTTCAGACCATGGCATGTTACGATAAATGATGGGGGGGAGGGGGAAGATTGAGAGAAACAGAAGCTACCGTGTGTGAAAAAACCCTTCAAAAGCAGAGAAACCCCACGCGTTTCTCCTCGATGCCTATACAGACTCTAGGTCAGACGTACTGGTGAAGCCTGCCAGTGTTTGTGTTCCCCTTGTACAAGATGGAAGGAAGGAAGAACAAGGCGTGATGCGACGGATCTGCTGCAAGCAGCATCTGCCACTTCATCTGCGCACGGCAGCGAAGAGCCGGACGAAGAGGGTAGGCACGGAGAAAGGACGGCGGGAGGGCGAGGGAAGTCATTGCAATGACTGTTCATTGTGTTCTATCACACGTGTGTGTGGGTGCGGTGCGTGTCTGTGTGTGTGTCAATCAAAGCAAGAGGCGGGGTGCTGCGGGTGTGATCAACCGCGAGGATGTTGAGGATGCATGGCGACAGACGAGCACAGCAGCAGTCGACACGAGGACAAGACCCGGTTCGGGGCCCTCAGGGAGGCGTCGTCACCACCCACAGATGTTGCCCAAGGATTCCCCTTGCGGATGCCTATCAAGGCCATCTTCGACGGCTTACCCTCGTCGCTGGTTACCCCACAAGGTCGCTTCGACAAGGCAATTCGGCTTGACATGGTGCGGGAGACAAAAGGGGTGGGCGGCTTGACGTGGATGAGGGCTGTGCGTCAGACAGCTGAGTACCTGGCGTCCGAGGTGCATCTGGTGGGTCACCGCTGTGGGCAGCTCAAGGTGGGTGTGATGGGATAGGTGTTCTACAGAGGGGCTCTTTCTGCCATGTCGATGTGCGTAGAGCTGCTCGCCCCTCTCTCGCCTGTGGACTGACTGAGTCTGAGTAGATTGATGGACACGATCTGTTGTGATGCGGAACGTGTGTTTCTGTGCTTGTGAGACTGGTGTGTTTGTGTGCTCATGCGCTACCTATCAGTCGTCATTTTGTGATGGACCGACGAGTGGTCGATTTGGATTTCAAGAAGCCGTGTGATGTCTTTCTGTGTGCGCGCAGCTGAGACGGTGTGTGGGCTCATGCACATCAATCCCCTTGTGTGCTCCGGCAGGACAGCTTTATGAGAACGTTGCATGAGTCACGGGTTGGCAAGAGCACGTCACTCTTCTCAGCGCAAAACCGGCAAAACCGATGAGCGTAGAGGAATATACACCATCTCAGCTAATATAAAATGTAGACAGCGATGTTGGCCGCTCTCCTCCTCACCATTGCAATGCAGCCGAGCGACCAACACACACAGACCGACCGCCACACACTCTCTCTCTCTCTGTCGATCTGATCTCACACACCGACACACTACAGCAGGACAGCCACACAAATGCCACAAATGCACCTACACTCACGCAAATGGCACTCGGCAGGTCAGCCACACACACAAATGGCATTCTATCCCCTCCACACACAGACAGACGCTCTCCTCTCCACCCACATGACGCCAGCCAACATGGAAAAAAGAAAGTCGTGTGCTACACCCTCCCCCCCACCACCACACACGCCCCTTAAGACACACACAAATCTCTCCCGCAGCCGCTTAGATGTGTGTGGGTGAGGTGCAGCTGCAGCCCCTTATCGCCCTCACCACCCCCTCCCACACGCCCACCATGCCGGCCCAGGCCTCCCGCAGCATGTTGGTGTTGGTGTTGGTGCTGCTGCTGTCGATGGTGTTGGTGGTGTTGGTGCTGGCCTTGTTGGTGTTGGGTGCGATGGCCGGCATGGCGGGGCCGCAGGCCTTGAAGTTGGGCACCGGAGTGGGGCGAGGTCGGCTGATGGACGGCTCGTCCATGCTGGGTACATGGACGAACTTAGTCCTCAGCGACACGTCGAACTCCCACTCCGTCCGCAACCTCTCGGCCTCGCGGATCATCTCCTGCACACGAAAATTGCAAACACACAGACGCACGCATCGGCCATGAGAACAGACGGACGAGCAAAGTGCTCTTTGCATCCCTCCTCCCCCCTCGGTGCACCGGTGACGTACCTCCTCCTTGGCCCAGCAGGTGTCGCAAACCCACTCTCCGCGCTTCTGGCAGGCCCTGTGGGGCTGGCAGGGGCCTGCCGGCTGCGCCCGGCCGTCCTCTTGCGACCGAACAGGCCGCGGCCCTTCGGTGAGGGGGTCCGACGGCCGGCGACGCAGCGGGGCTTGCGCAAATTGGCGAACGGGTTGAACCTCTCGACGGCCATCTTGAATGCGCTCAACAAACGACTGCCTCTCTTCTAAGCGCTCCTACTGGGATGAGCATGTCGAGGCAGCCCAACAGCTGCGGACGGCTTGGGTAGGGCTGCAGCAGACAGAAGGGGGCCGGGATCTCATTGATGCCTGTGTGAACCACACACAGACAGACACACACACAGGGACAGACAGACAGACAGACATGAACAGCTGCGTGCAGCTGTCGTGTGGGTGCATAGCATACCCTGCTTGTAGGAGCGGATCTCTGTGTGGCGCTTGGCACAGTAGTGGGCCAACACAGCCTTGAGGTCGTCCTGGGTGTCCTCAGCCTGGAAGAGCGCGTAGTCCTGCCGAGTGCGGCGGACGTCCTCCGCCATCAGCTGCGAACACAAACACAAACACACGAGTGGCCAGTCGACAGTGAAACAGCACGCACGAGGCAGCATCCCTTCAGTTTCTTACGTCGGCGTCTACGGTTGGCATTATCTTCCAACCAGAGGTTCACCGAGGTGGCACCGAGAAGCCTTAGCCAGCCATCGATTAGATTCTGTTTTTAGTTCCTTTGCCCGACTTGAAGCGTTTGACTTGAACCCTTTACCTCTTCTACAGAAGCCGGTGAATATAAAACGAGGGCACCTCTTGTTTGTTGTGGTCATGGGTGTCCACAAAGCCGTCCGACAGCAGACAAACAGCTGCACACCAACATAGAGAAGAAGATGCACATAAAGATGTGTTCCTTCTGAAGCTGTGGTGATTGAATCGCTTACCAGTGGGCTGGTGGGTGGGCCGAATCCAACGAAGGCCAATTGCACGCTGACCGGCAGACAGGGGACCTGCAGGCAACGGACAGCACACAAACACACAAGGACTGCCATCCACTTCGTCGGAATCGCCCTTTGGCCCCCCCCCCCCCTTCCCACACGCCCACCACGCCCGTCCAGGACTCCTGCAGCAGGGTGGGGCAGCTCATGGTGCTGTTTGTGCTGGTCTTGTTGGTATGGGGTGGCGTAGGGGGGTTGATGGGGCGGGAGTTGGCCGGGGTGGTGAAGTGGGGCACACTGATGATGGTCGGCTCATCCATATCATGGAAGTGGATGAGCCGACCCTCAAAATTCCAGCGCAGCTCCTGCGATGCGCGGATGGCCTCCTGCACACACACATGCGCACACGGATCGTGAGCACAAGCCACAGTCAGTGCATTGGCTTCGATTCCTTCCTCCCTCTCTCCCGGCACTCACGTCCTCTTTCGCCTCACACAACGCGCAAATGGCATCGCGGCCGCCCTTGTCCTGGATGCACGCGAACAGCTCCCCTTCGCAAGGGCTGGCCCTGGCCGTCGTGGCAGCCGTGGTGGCCGCTGCAGCTGGCGGGGGCTTGCGGACGAATGGGCCGCGGCGGCGTTTGATCGTGGCGCCCTTCTTGCGGCCGGCGGTGGCGACACTCGCCGCGCGCAGCTTCTCGATGAGCCTCTTGACAGACAACGTCATTGCTGCTGCGAGGGGGGCGCTAGATTGCTGCAAATCGCTTGTGCTGTGCCGACGACAGATTTTGACAGAACTTCTTTCTTTCTCACCTGTCGCTTTGGCGAGATTCTCGCCCTCAGCGAGATAAGCTCGCAGGTCGACGCATGCCTTTGCTGTGAAAAGGCGATTGCCACTGCCAACCGGTGAGGTACCTGGCCATCCGTAAATTAGGGGGCGGTGCGAAGAAGCGAGCAGCAAGTACTGGTACCAGCCACACCAGCAGATCGGTGCACTAGTACTATCCGTGTGCACATTGCAGATCGGGTGAAGGTGCACCATGCCTTCCGTAAAGTGTAGAGAGGGAGAAGGGTGCTCATGCGCTGCCTGCCTGTCTGCCTGGCATATGGGGAATGAGTTTTTGTTGGGTGGGTTCCCCACCATTCCGTCCGAACGTAACATTGTCAGTCACTCAGAGGGTCGGTCGGTCAGGCAGGACGAAGCTAGGGGAGAGAGTACCAAGGCAGCCAGACGGACAGACAGAGAGTCGACATCCACACACATACGCCGCCAGCCAGATGAAGGACCCACACGCACACATAGAGGCCCCCGCCCCGCCACTCGGTCGACGTCTCTTCCCGTGAGTGAGTCCCTCTCATCCAAGAACACCCACCAGCCAGACACGTCACAGCCACACGCCACCACACACATCCCATCAGGGGGCAGCTCGGGGGGTGAGCTCATGACCGCAACACCACACACAACCAGTCAGGTGTGTTTACTGTAGTGAGAGAGAGGCGAGCGATCTGCGTGAGGGGGACACACACACATAGACACACGAAGAAAGAGTGGAAACTTGGGTGTACCATGTGGTGTGTGTGTGACTGACGCCCACACCCACCCACCTTAGGGTGGCGGCGGCGTGTGCAGAGTGCGGAAGGAACAGCGAGTAGCATATTGGCTTCGTTACACAGTGAGGAGTGAGGGAAACCTGCAACCAACCAGTGGCACAAACACACAGGAGGAGAGACTCGTAAAGGTGAGGGCATATTCAGCTGTGCGTGTGTGTGGCACTCGTACGCTGTGGATCGTTGATGGACGAAGAGGGCTGTCAGAATAGATCGGCTTCCTTACGCAGTGAGGAGCTGACCAGTGACCTGCAAGTCACACGACACACACACACACACACACGGGGAGATGTGCACCCGTCACATGCTCATGCACTCGTTCGTGTGAGAGTGATCGACTGACCTGACGATGGCCACAGTGCCGTTATTGAAGATCTCTTAGCCGATGGAGGGCGGGCGAGGGTGAGGTGACGATGGCGAAGGGCACCATGTGTGTGTGGGTGGGAGAGAGAGACGATCGTCGAAACGACTACGCCTCCCTCACACCACACACATCGCCTGAGCCATCCGTGATGGACGGGATACGGCCGAAGCGGCCTTCCCCCGCCCATCGTGGGCTGGCTCGGACGACTGACATGGTCCACCTGCCAAGGCACACACACACGAGACACACACATAAGCCCGACGGTGGGCATTGCCTGGTGCCTCCAGGGCTCCCTCACATACCCTCTGAAGGTCGCACGAAGAGCAGCATCAGAGGCTGCCGATGGGGTGCAGCGCGGGGCTTCCTTACGCAATGGCCGGTGCTGACTGGCGGCCTGCTGCTGCTGCTGCTGCTGCTGCCGTAGTGGCGTGTACGCTGGCACAAAGCCGTCCGACAGAGACGTGACCTTGGTGTGCAGCTAGATGGCCGACCAGTGAGCTGCACACCAACAGCACACAGAGAAGAAGATGCACACACAGATGTGTTGCTGCTGAAGGTGTGGTCAACCAAATTTCTAACCGTCTGTGAGTTGGGGGTGGTGGCTGCGCCTGGACTTAGCCAAGTACACTCTGGCAGGCAGCTCGACGCATACAGGGGACCTGCAGACACATACATATGGACGGCTGAATGAATGAGTGTGTGTGCGCAGGCAATTGGTGACCACTAACACACACGTACCTGGTTGGTGTGTGGGGTGAGTGAGTGGAGAGGGACTATACGGACCAAATGGCTGGCAGCGGCACAAATGGAGTGCCGGCGACTTCTACTACAGCACAAAATGGCGGAATGGCTGCACTACACCACTTAATCAGACCAGACGAAAACACGAAATGCCGCACAGCCCAAACGGCGGGAATGCGTGTGAGCTCTTCCAAACAAGCCAAGCTGAGGCACAAACCACACACACACACAGACAGACAGACAGACAGACAGATCCTCATCCATTAAGCTTTGGAGTGGCCCGTGCTGTGTGGTGCTGACTGACCTGCCGGCTGCCCGTGGGTGGTAGGTGGGCTTCTAAGCGCCTCTTTGTGTCGGCCTTCTAATGGGCCTTCCTCTCTCTTTTTGCCTTCTTCTGGGGGCCTTCTCTTTCCCACACACACAGACACGCAGGCACTAAGTCTCTGTCCCCAACACACACTTGACACACACAGAGCTACACTGTGCCCCCCAAGACGCACTCGACACACACAGAGCTACACTGTGCCCCCCAAGACACACTCGACACACACGCCCACACACACACACACACACAGGTGGCTGACGCCCTCAGAGTGGCGCACCCACCTCATTGGATCTGGCCGCTCGGCGTGCGACCAGCCCACAGCCCCCAAGCCACCAAATGACGTTAGGAATGACCCATTAGAAATGACTAAAAAGGATGCAATGACACTCACACAGACACACAGGGCAGACGAAATGAAATGAGAGGGACGGCCGAAAACACAACGCATCGACCATCAGCCACACGGATGTGAGAGGGGCGGAGCAGCCAGGCCATGAAGGGGAAAGGGCCACACATTCACGCAGTCATCACAAAAAGGTTTTCGAAGGGCACCATGGCCAGGCAGCCGGCCATGGCCCCTCCCAGCTTATCTTTTTTTGCGGTGGCCAGACGTATGTAAGCACGAAACACTTAACGCCCCTCTCACAGGGCACATCCACGCCCCGCCAGCCAGACCACCAACAAAACACAGACAGACAAATCGTTGACGAACTAGGCAGAGGGCAGGCGGCCTTGTGTGGCAGGCCCGCCATGCCGGGAGGAGAGAGAGACAAGCGGTGCAGGAAGGCAGCCGGGCAGCCAGGCAGCAAACAAAACCCACCCCCACGAGCCCCACACATACAGGGGAATACAAAGCTTTTCGAGAGGCCGTGCTTAACACGAGCCCCCCCTTTTGTGCTTTTTTTGTACTATATGGTACAGCTGCCCCTGGCCTCCCTCCCCCTCCAATTCGGTAACTCTCGCTACGAACCACCACGAACTGACGGAACCACACACACCCACATCATCCGCAAGGCAGCCAGACACACGACACACAGACGACACACGACAGACGACACACTACAGACGACAGACGACAGTGCAAGGACGACAGCCACCGACACACTACAGCAGGGCAGCCACACAAATGCCACAAATGCACCTACACTCACGCAAATGGCACTCGGCAGGTCAGCCACACACATACAGACGCTCTCCTCTCCCTTCACATGAAGGCAGCCAGCATGGAAAAAGAAAAGAACACGGCTCCCTCCCTCCCCCTCTCCCTGTCTGTCTGGCAGCCGCCTCAGCAGATGTGTGTGGGGGTGGTGCAGCTGCAGCTCGCCCACACCTTGGCCATGGCGTCGCAGGCCATCTGCAGCATGGTGGGGCAGCTGCTGCTGGTGCTGCTGGCGGTGTGGGGCGGGCATGGCGGGTTGGTGGGGCGGGCCTTGGCGAACTTGGAGAAATGGGGGGTCCGGCCGATCGTGGGCTCGTCCATCGCTGGGGAATACAGGAGGGTGCCCTGCATGTAGAAGTCGAGCTCCTTGCGCATCTTGGCGGCCTTGTGGACCATCTCCTGCACACACAGACACACACACATGGCCATGTTTATCTGGACGCATCATGAAGGCGCTCCCCTCGGTCCCTCCCTCCCTCCCTCCCTCCCACCTCGCCCACCTGCTTCTTGGCGCTACACACCTCACACAGGGCTCGGTCCCCCTTGCGGCAGTCCAGGAACTTGCCGCACGCGCCGCCCTTCTCCGCCGTGGTGCCCGTGCCGCCCGTGACCCCCCCGCTGCGGCTCTTGCTGCCCGTCGTGGCGGCGCCTTCGTTGGTGCGGCCCTTGGTGCGGCCGACAGCGGCGCTCGCCCTACGCATCTTATCAAGCAAGAATTTCACCGACATGGCTGCAAACTGAACGGGAACGAGTGCTCTCAAACGTCGCAGGAACTGCAGCAAAGTGGTTGCGTTCTAGAGAACCCCGTTTCACGGAACATTTTACTGTAATTTCATAGCTATGAAATTACGCGGGTTTGCACTGTTTCAAAGGACAGTGAGCAGTTCGAAGGCAAGGCAAGCAGTACATAGCCGCAGGGAGGACAGTGCAGCACGCACGCACACTGACAGGGCCAAACCAGCCGCCACACAGAGCTGCACGGAAAGTTACTAACCACTCATCGACGCGCCTCGACAAATGTGGCATACAAATGCATCACTCACTCACAGAGGGAACGCACCACTCTCTCTTTTCATATGTGTGGACTATTCCACTAACTCACAAAGGCTGTGTTGCCTGACGGTCGGTCAGACGGCCAAGTGAATGCATCTGCAGACACCACACAGCACAGGTGTGTCTGTGCTGTGCCGACTAGGCGAAAACCAAAAGCAGTACGCATCGTACGGTACTGTACGAGTATGGATACATATACATGTGTACATGACCCTCAACACGCACCCATGTCAGTCAACACGCACGGGACGACCATGGTGGCCATGGTGGCCATGCCATGGGCAGCCATCTAAGCTATCCACACACACATGTTACACTTGGATACACACAGCCGTCCGTCACGTGTGTCCCTCCCACGCCAAGGCGTCATCCATCCATCCATCCACCGCCTGCACTGCATGGATCTATCTATCTATGTGTGTGTGTGTGTATGTTGTCTCAGTGAGCTACGTCGAGGGGATCTGCCCGCCGGCCTCCTCGAGCCAAGGGTGGCTGAGCGCCTGTGGGTATGCGCACACACACGTGGACGCGGACTGATGCATGTGTGTAGCATTCATTGTGTGTGTCGGCGGCTGCCCACCTGCTCTATGGATAGGCGCTTGTGCGGATCGTGCTGCAGGAGCTGGCTAAGTAGGTCCAACAGTTGGCCAGACACCGAGGCTCCCTTCTCGCCGGCAAGTCTGCGGAAGGTGGGCTTGAGCTGGCCGTTATCTACTGCAAGGAGGTGCGTCAGGCCCGCACGGTCACCCAAGACCAATTCAGCAATCGTCACACCTGAGCCAGAGGGAAGAATCGTGCATTTATGTGTGGGCTCTACCTCTACCTCTCCCTACCTGCGGTCCAGCTTGCACATTTCTTGTGGTCGGTATCTATGAGTCCGTTGCTCTCGCTGGCGCCGAGCAGCTCGGGGGCCGACGCATCGTCAAGCACGGAGGGCAGCAGTGTCTTGAGGCGTGACCTATATGTCCACATCACACACAGGCACACACACGGACGGGACGGGCGTGTGGTTGGGTATGCATAGCATAGCGTGTCTGGTCGTTCTTACGGATCGTCTCGAGTGCACGTGGCACCAAGGGGGAGGCGGATGGCATGCCTGAGGGCTTTTCCTTTGCCGCCGGGCAGGCTGGTCTCGACCGCCATGATGTCGTCGAGCGTCAACTTCAGCAGCAACACGCCCCTGTGCCACACACACAAACCCGAAGATGTCGTGCGTGTTCCTACGGCTCTGTCTGTCCGTCTGTCGTGGGTACCTTCTGTCTATGTCTGCTATCTGGATGACGACCTCGCGGGCTATCGGTGCCAAGGCGTCTTCGCCTCTTTCCTCCCCACCATCCCTGCACCCGACCATCCATCCAACCATCCATAAAAAGCAGCCAGAGACACATACGGGCACATGGGCCCTGTTTCTCTCTCCCCCCTCCCTCTGTGCCCATCGTGGCTGGCCTGCTCACCGCAGGTGGCTGATGCTGCATGCTCCAGAGGGGATGGGCTCTACGGCGACCCAGACACTGCTGTCGTCGACAAAGACGTGCTTGACGGCAGGAATCACGGCAGGACAGCCTTCCATTCGCTGCATCACAGACGCCTCCGCCGCAGCCTGCAGACAGAAAGGGCACACAGACGTACATGCAGCGAGCCCTCCTTCCCTTGTCCTCTCTTCCCCCCCCACACACACAATGCACCTACCCGGTCAGGAAGACTCTCGACCAGCGCCTTCTCCTCGTCAGGAAGATCGTCGGGGACCGGCTGGCAGGCGGGATGCCGAGGGTAGCGATACGCAATCATCGCCTGGTCCGAGTGGGCGCCTCTGCACCAGTAGCCGGGAGCCACTGGATGCAATACAGCAGGAATGGGCCTGCCGTCGCTCCACCGGCACTGTCATGGGTGCGAATGAGTAGGGCCACAGACACACACAAATGCAATGGATCGATCCATCCCATCCCCCTCTCGCGTGCTCACCATCGGTGTCATCCTATCCAACAATGCTGCCGGGAAGTGCTCTTGGCACATCTGCAGACACATTCAGCATATAAGAAGATGACGTGATGGGTCTGTGAGTGACATTACATACCTGCCGCAATCTGTCGGCTTCGATCGACAGCCCCAGCAGCGCGTCCATGCCGCCTCTGAGCAACGCCACACCTAATCGGTGGATCGACAAGCCAAAACACGTAGCCGACAGAACCAATGGATTGCTTGCGTCGAGTGAGCTGCCCTCACCTTTGACACCGTGTGCGACCAACGTGGTAACCAAACCCTCCAACTGCTCTGTAGTACTTCCCGTGTAGTGTTGGCAGTTGCGGTGATGCGGTTGAGAAGGTGATGGGATGGGGGTGTCGCTGTCGCCTGTGGGGGTCTCGTCGATGACAGTGCCGTCTTGGTTCGCCACCACCACCAGCGGCATCACGTGCGGCATCTCCTCGCAGAGGCCGCGCTGCACTTCCAGGGCGTGCCCGATCAGAGATTCTACCGACTGGTCGATGAAAGGGGCCCACGCATGCGGCACACAAACAAACAGAGAGGAGACAGACGGAGGGGCAGTTCGGGGGCTCACTCTCTCAGTGCCTGCACGCCTGCCCGCCTGTCTGTCTGTCTGTCTAACCTAGCTGTCTGGCATATCGACCTGGTGCACCACCACGCGCTCCTGCCACCCGCCCATCGCACGTCCGTGTGGCTGAGGCTGATACATGTGCCAGCTGCTGCTGTGGGTCTGGTGGGGGAGAGCTGCCGGGGGCGGCGGCGGGGGCGGTGATGCGACGTCGATCACAGGCATCGAGACATCCATTTGGTCAGCAGAGGGGGGAAGGGAATAGGAGCACTTGGGTGCCGCCGCATCTGGCGAGAAGGGGAAGACTTTCTCACCCAGACGAGCGCCAGGAAGCACCGACAACACCATCGGCACGGCCTGCATTTCCATGATCGGCTGCTGCTGGGGTCCCCCCCCTTGCTGCTGCCCCTGCTGGTCAATGACGGCTGCCGGGTGTGTGTTGGAGTGATCAGTGGCGGAATAGATGGCCGCGATGACGTCACCACCTCCACCTCCAGATGGCTCCTCCTCCGGCAAGCCGTCGCACTGCACCGCTATCTCGCTGGTCGACCACAAGGCACCCACTGCACGCCCCTCCCCGCCCGGCCGGTGACACCCACAGCAGCTATGCCGACCCTTGCCCCCTCTCCATCCACCTCGTCACACCCCGTGGTCTGCCGGGTGTGGTCACAAACAGCCACAGCCTTCACCACTTCTGCCGCCGCTGTTGCACCGCTCGCCAGATGGTGCTCTCCCTCCTCATTGCCCGGCATTGTGTCCCGCTGGTCCTCCTGGGTCTCATTTGCCGTCTGCCGCCGATCGGTGGTTGTGCGATTGCATTCGGTGGTCTTGTTGGAATGCGTGGGAAGGGGCGGGCAGTCCTCAGTCGACAGGGGGATGGGGTCCTCACTGTCAGCGAGAGATTGCGAGCCCGACCACGCCGCCTTGCTGTCCGATGGACGGCTGCCGGCGCCGCTGACCTCGCACCCTCGCGACCCTACCACAGCCGCACGCGACGCTCCTTTGTCTCGAGTGCTCTTGGGTCTGCTGCTGTTGTTGTACTGGGTGCTTTTGGTCCTGGTGTTGGTGCTGCTGTTGTTGGTGTGTGTGGTGGTGTGTGGGTAGGAGACCACGGGGTGAGGGGTGGGCTTGAGGGTGCGGGGAGGGGGCAGGATGGTCGGCATGGGGACCGAAGGCGACTCACTGACAGAAGGACTGCATCAACCGGCCACCGGCAACCAACAGATTCACAACAGACAAAACAAACATGCTTCATACGTGTGTTATGAGCCCCACTCGCTCACCCGTGCTGCCCCTGCTGGTCAATGACGGCTGCCGCTTGCTGCTGACTCACCGCCCTCGTGTCAGCAATCATCACACGCCAGGAGGGCGCTCTCACTTCGCACGGCTTCACGGCCGCCAAGATGTCCTCACCGCCGACCAACAGACAGGACAGACGCGAGCGCTCGATCGCCACCCGTGGCATCGCCTTGGCGTCCGTGGTGTGGCTGGGAAGGGGGAGGGGGGACGGGGGAGTGACGCTGGCCAAAGCCACCTGGGGCTGCTGTTGGTGCTGGCGATGGTGGGGTGTGGTGACTGTGCTGCCGACATCCGCTGCCGGGTGTGGGCTGGGGTGATCAGTGGCCGGACGGATGGCCGCGATGGCCTCATGACCTCCGCCACCAGATGGCTCCTCCTCCGGCAAGCCGTCGCGCTGCACCGCTATCTCGCTGGTCGACGACAAGGCACCCACTGCACGCCCCCCTCCCGCCAGTCCAATGACACCCGCAGCCATGCCGATCCCCCCCTCTCCATCCACCTCATCACAAACAGCCACCACCTTCACCGCTGCTGCTGCCGCCGGTGCTCTGCCACCCACACGATGGCGCTCTCCCTCCTCATCTCCCCCCGGAGCATCCTGCTGTCCCCGTTGGTCTTCCTTGGGATCGGTGGTGGCTCTGCTCGTTGTGGTCAGTGTGGGGAGGGGCGGGATGACCTCCTCCGTCGAGAGGGGGTTGGCGTCGCCATCCGCATCAGAGAGAGATTGTGAGCCAGACCACGCCGTCCTGACATCCGACGGACGGTTGCTGGCGCCGGTGAAATCGTGCCCACGAGACCGCGACACACCTTCCTTGGCAGTGCTGCTGCTGCCGCCGTCTGGGGGCCGTATGGTTGTGGTGGTCCTGCTCGTGGTGGTGGTGGCGACGGTCGTTGTTGCAGTCGTGGACGATGGACGGAGGCGAGAGGCCTGGCGATAGGCCGGGGCGGACGACTCCCTGAACGACAGCAAATCGGGCTTGGGATGGAAGTGCGTGCGGCTCAGTGAATGCCTACCGTCCTGATGCGCCGCTGAGGAGGCTTAGGATCGACGAAGGAGTGGCGGCGCGGAGCCTCAGGGCCTCACAGATCAACTCATCCATCGGGAACGAGCGGCAAGCTGATGCACACACGCGCACACGCACACATCGACATCTCGCCGTGTGCGCCGTTTCGCCCCTCCCTTGCTCACCCTGTGTGTCATCGCGGGGGTCGGCATCAAAGTCCGCGAGAAGGAAGTCGTAGAGGCTATCGGAGTTCAACTTGTTGGCGATGAGCTGTTGTCGGTTCAGGGTCAGCCACCCGACCGCAACGAAGTAGAAGATCGTCTCTGCCGGCTGACACACAGACACAGACACAGACACCAGTGAAGGCAGTAGGAAGGAGGGCGGACTCGCTGTGAGTTCTTGTGTTGTGCTGTTGTTATTAGGTACCTTGTGGTGGAGGCAGAGTCGCCAGAGGGTCAGGAGTGTCTCAACGTTGCGGAAGACCTTCGCATACAGCGTCGAGAACCATCTGCACGAACACAAGACACACACACGATCTCTGTCAGTGTGCGGGCGGGGAGAGAGGCTGCCAGTGTGTGGCTCACTTGGGAAGGTACATCTCTGGCTCGATGCCATGGCCGTCGAAGATTGTGCTGACCTCCGGATCGTGGAACTTGAGCAGGAGCCTGTAACACAAACACACACACACACACACACAATCCGAGCAGCCTGCAGGAACATGGCCGTGACTGACTTCCCTTCTGCACCACCACACCCACCCTGTGAGTTTGTACATCCTAAGCTCGGCCACGAGGAGCCGACGCCCGGCGCGAGGGTGCGCAGGATCATGTCCAAACACCCGAGCAGCTGCGCCGGGCTCGGCCGAGGCTGAAGCGCATACAACGGTGCAACGATCTCGTTCAGCCCTGCACAAGCCGCACACAGCCAGCCCGCACCGACACGTACGCCCTATGTATGGCTAGTTGAGGCGTTGTGTGAGTACCCTGGGTGTAGCTTATTGACAGCATAGCACAGAACGACTGCAGCGCTACTTGCAGGTCGGCCTTAGTGCGCTCGTCACGATACAACGGGCACTCTTGGCGAGTGCGGGCCAGGTCGCCGGCGATCAACTGCAAACAGACAACACGGACAGACAGACAGACAAACAGACAAATAGACAAACAAACAGACATCCCTGGCCCATCAAATTCTCAATTTCTCACCTCCGCATTGGCCGCATCCTTCTGTGGAGATGTGCATGTGGTGGCCTGGTGCACTATCAGCCGGCAGTAGGCGGGGATGTCTGCCTTGAGGGTCGTCAGCCACTGGCTGAGGAGGCGATCTTCCTGTCCATCGCACGGAGGGTCTGTGCCTCCGGCTGCGGCTGCCAACGCTGCGCAAGATTTGCGCTTGCTTGCGGCTGCGGCTGGGGCTGGGGCATGCTCTTGCATGGTTTCTTGAGCCGACTCCGTAAAACATTATTGCGCACGAACTCTGCGAAGATAGAAAGCCCTTTCGCTGCATTCTCGCATTCGAGCGTTCGCACCCCCGTAGAGCACATCAAAGGAGCTGCAGCCATGTCGGTGAAGTTCTTTCTCGAAAAGATGCGTAGGGTGGCCGATGGGGTGGCTGCCTTCCCCCGCACCAAAGGCGCCGCCAAGACGGGCACCAAGGGCCGCATTCAGCCACCGGCCGCCAAGAGCCAGGCCAAGAGCACCACGAGCACTGCGGAGAAGGGCGGCGCGTGCGCCAAGTTCCAGGACTGCCGCATGAGGGGCAGAGCCCTGTGTGAGGTGTGTAGCGCCAAGAAGCAGGTGGGCGAGGTGGGAGGGACACAGTGGAGGGACTGGGGAGGGACGGGAGGGAGGCGTCCGAGGGGAGCGCCTTCATGATGCGTCCAGATAAACATGGCCATGTGTGTGTGATATGTGTGTGCAGGAGATGGTGCGCAAGGCCGCCAAGATGCGCCAGGAGCTCGACTTCTACATGCAGGGCACCCTCCTGTATTCCCCAGCGATGGACGAGCCCACGATCGGCCGGACCCCCCACTTCAGCAAGTTCGCCAAGGCCCGCCCCATCAGCCCGCCGGAGCCGCCCCACACCGCCAGCAGCACCAGCACCAACTGCCCCACGGTGCTGCAGATGGCCTGCGACGCCGTGGCCAAGGTGTGGGCGAGCTGCAGCTGCACCACCCCCACACACATCTGCTGAGGCGGCTGCCAGACAGACAGGGAGGGGGGGAGGGAGGGAGCCGTGTTCTTTTCTTTTTCATGGTGGGCGGCTTCATGTGAAGGGAGAGGGGAGCGTCTGTGTGTGGAGTGGATTGTATGCCATTTGTGTGTGTGTCAGACCTGCCGAGTGCCATCTGCCTGAGTGTCGGTGCATTTGTGGCATTTGTCTGGCTGCCCTGCTGTAGTGTGTCGGTGGCTGTCGTGCTGCATAGTCGTCCTTGCACTGTCGTCTGTCGTCTGTAGTGTGTCGTCTGTCGTGTGTCGTCTGTGTGTCGTGTGTCTGGCTGCCTTGCGGATGATGTGGGTGTGTGTGGTTCCGTCAGTTCGTGGTGGTTCGTAGCGAGAGTCACCGAATTGGAGGGGGAGAGAGGCCAGGGGCAGCTGTACCATATAGTACAAAAAAAAACATAAAAGGGGGGGCTCGTGTCAAGCACGGCCTCTCGAAAAGCTTTGTGTGACCCTGTGTGTGGGGCTCGTGGGGGTGGGTTTTGTTTGCTGCCTGGCTGCCCGGCTGCCTTCCTGCACCGCTGGCCTCTCTCTCCTCCCGGCATGGCGGGCCTGCCGCACAAGGCCGCCTGCCCTCTGCGTAGTTCGTGTGTGTGAACGATTTGTCTGTCTGTGTTTTGATGTGGTCTGGCTGGCGGGGCGTGGATGTGCCCTGTGAGAGGGGCGTTAAGTGTTTCGTGCTTACATACGTCTGGCCACCGCAAAAAAAGATAAGCTGGGAGGGGCCATGGCCGGCTGCCTGGCGATGGCGCCCTTCGAAAACCTTTTTGTGATGACTGCGTGAATGTGTGGCCCTTTCCCCTTCATGGCCTGGCTGCTCCGCCCCTCTCACATCCGTGTGGCTGATGGTCGATGCGTTGTGTTTTCGGCCGTCCCTCTCATTTCATTTCGTCTGCCCTGTGTGTCTGTGTGAGTGTCGCTGCATTCTTTAGTCATTTCTAATGTGTCATTGTTACTGTCATTTGGCAGCTAGGGTGCTGTGGGCCGGCCGGACGCCGAGCGGCCAGATCCAATAAGGTGAGTGCGCCACTCTGAGGGCGTCAGCCACCTGACAGTGTGTGTGTGTCTGGGCGTGTGTGTCGAGTGCGTCTTGGGGGGCACAGTGTAGCTCTGTGTGTGTCGAGTGTGTCTTGGGGGGCGCAGTGTAGCTCTGTGTGTGTCGAGTGCGTCTTGGGGGGCACAGTGTAGCTCTGTGTGTGTCGAGTGTGTCTTGGGGGGCACAGTGTAGCTCTGTGTGTGTCGAGTGTGTCTGGGGCGGCACAGTGTAGCTCTGTGTGTGTCGAGTGTGTCTTGGGGGGCACAGTGTAGCTCTGTGTGTGTCGAGTGTGTGTTGGGGACAGAGACTTAGTGCCTGCGTGTCTGTGTGTGTGGGAAAGAGAAGGCCCCCAGAAGAAGGCAAAAAGAGAGAGGAAGGCCCATTAGAAGGCCGACACAAAGAGGCGCTTAGAAGCCCACCTACCACCCACGGGCAGCCGGCAGGTCAGTCAGCACCACACAGCACGGGCCACTCCAAAGCTTAATGGATGAGGATCTGTCTGTCTGTGTGTCTGTCTGTCTGTCTGTGTGTGTGTGTGTGCTCTGTGCTGCAGCTTGGCTTGTTTGGAAGAGCTCACACGCATTCCCGCCGTTTGGGCTGTGCGGCATTTCGTGTTTTCGTCTGTTCTGATTAAGTGGTGTAGTGCAGCCATTCCGCCATTTTGTGCTGTAGTAGAAGTCGCCGGCACTCCATTTGTGCCGCTGCCAGCCATTTGGTCCGTATAGTCCCTCTCCACTCACTCACCCCACACACCAACCAGGTACGTGTGTGTTAGTGGTCACCAATTGCCTGCGCACACACACTCATTCATTCAGCCGTCCATATGTATGTGTCTGCAGGTCCCCTGTATGCGTCGAGCTGCCTGCCAGAGTGTACTTGGCTAAGTCCAGGCGCAGCCACCACCCCCAACTCACAGACGGTTAGAAATTTGGTTGACCACACCTTCAGCAGCAACACATCTGTGTGTGCATCTTCTTCTCTGTGTGCTGTTGGTGTGCAGCTCACTGGTCGGCCATCTAGCTGCACACCAAGGCCACGTCTCTGTCGGACGGCTTTGTGTCAGCGCACACGCCACTACGGCAGCAGCAGCAGCAGCAAGCCGCCAGTCAGCACCGGCCATTGCGTAAGGAAGCCCCGCGATGCACCCCATCGGCAGCCTCTGATGCTGCTCTTCGTGCGACCTTCAGAGGGTACGTGAGGGAGCACTGGAGGCACCAGGCAATGCCCACCGTCGGGCTTACGTGTGTGTCTCGTGTGTGTGCCTTGGCAGGTGGACCATGTCAGTCGTCCGAGCCAGCCCACGATGGGCGGGGGAAGGCCGCTTCGGCCGTATCCCGTCCATCACCCGTGGGGGGGTCAGGCGATGTGTGTGGTGTGGGAGGGAGGCGTAGTCGTTTCGACGATCCTCTCGCCCACCCACACACACATGGTGCCCTTCGCCATCGTCACCCCACCCCCGCCCGCCCTCCATCGGCTAAGAGATCTTCAATAACGGCACCGTGGCCATCGTCAGGTCAGTCGATCACTCTCACACGAACGAGTGCATGAGCATGTGACGGGTGCACATCTCCCCGTGTGTGTGTGTGTGTGTCGTGTCATGTGGCTTGCAGGTCACTCACTGTCAGATCCTCACTGCGTAAGGAAGCCGATCTATTCTGACAGCCCTCTTCGTCCATCAACGATCCACAACGTACGTGTGCCACACACACGCACAGCTGAATATGCCCTCACCTTTACGTGTCTCTCCTCCTGTGTGTTTGTGCCACTGGTTGTTTGCAGGTTTCCCTCACTCCTCACTGTGTAACGAAGCCAATATGCTACTCGCCGTCCCTTCCGCCCTCTGCACACGCCGCCGCCGCACTAAGGTAAAGGGGTGTGGGCGTCAGTCGCACACACATGCATGTACACCCAAGTACTGTACCTGCTCATCTGTCTACGCGTGTCTGTATCTGTGTCGCTCAGCAACCCGATCGCCTGCCTCCTCTTGCCGACAAGTCTCTGTCACACGCCAGACTGTTCATCTGGCTGGCGGCGTGTGTGCTTGTGTCGACTCTCTGTCTGTCCGTCTGCCATGTGGGGGCGTGCGAAAGTGCTGTGTGTGTTGACGGGCGTGTGCACATTCATCTGTGTGCGGAGCAGACTATATATGTGCGTTTTGCCGAAGCGGCCACACACACACACCCAGTGGCACGTCTGAGTGTGCACCTCATCTGAGCGTACACCCTCACATTTGACAGACGTATGTATGGCTACTGTGGTGCATACAGCGCTGTACAACTCCCGGGCACATTGGCGGCCTGCTGTGGGTACGAGTCCGCCAGCGGCAGTCAGAGCACTCAGCAAAGCCTTCATATACGCGTGAGTCTGATCGACTGTCAGGCAGCCTCACGTGCGCAGTGGCCAGTTTGCGTGGAGTCTGTCATGCGGCCCTTTACGGATGGCCAGCTTTCATCTGGCGCCTCTGGCGCCAATAAGAAATTCTCGGCGAGATTTTGAGACAGGCCCACGGGAGACGAGAAAAGGGGAAAAACCCATTGTGTATCGATTTCGATTTTCTGCCGAGCGTACGCAAGAGAACTCGGCGAGTGCCGCTGTCGGCAGCTCCAAGAAAGCCAGCCGCATTGCCAAGCTGCCACTGGGGGTGCGTTTCGGCTTCGCATTCAGTTTGCAGCCATGTCGGTGAAGTTCCTCCTTGATAAGATGCGCAGGGCGAACGTCGCTCTCGGCCGCACCAACAAAGCGCCACCAAGGGCCGCAGCCGGGGGGTCAAGGACAGCAAGGGCCGCATTCAGCCACCGGTCGCCAAGAGCACCACCAACACGGCGGAGAAGGGCAGTGCGTGCGGCAAGTATGTTCCAGGACTGCCGCGGGAGGGGCGGAGCCATGTGTGAGGTGTGCAGCGCCAAGAAGGAGGTGGGCGAGGTGGGAGGGATGGAAGGGAGGTGCCTCTGGGGAGGGCACTCGTGATGCATTGCATTGCGTCCAGATAAACATGGCCATGTGTGTGTGTCCGTGTGTGCAGGAGATCGTCCGCGAGGCTGCCAAGAAGCGCCAGGAATTCGACTTCTACGCCCAGGGCACGGTGCTGCACTTCCCCTCGATGGACGAGCCCACCATCGGCCGCACCCCCCACTTCAGCAACTTCGCCAAGGTCCGCCCCATCAACCCGCCGAACCCGCCCCACACCGCCAGCAGCACCAGCGTGAGCTGCTGCACAGTGCTGCAGATGGCCTCTGTGTGGGGGAAAGACAACGCCCCCAGAAGAAGGCAAACACAGAGAGACAGAAAGGCCCATTAGAAGGCCGACACGAAGAGGCGATTAGAGGGCCACCTACCACATACGGGCAGCCCACCCAGCAGCCAGCAGGTCAGTCAGCACGACACAGCACGGGCCACTCCAAAGCTTCGTTGATGAATGAGGATCTGTCTGTCTCTGTGTCTGTCTGTCTGTGTGTCTGTCTGTGTGTGCTCTGCGCTGCAGCTTGGCTTATTTGGAAGAGCTCAGACGCATTCCCGCCGTTTGGGCCGTGCGGCATTTCGTGTTTTCGTCTGGTCTGATTAAGTGGTGTAGTGCAGCCATCCAGCCATTTTGTGCTGTAGTAGAAGTCGCCGGCACTCCATTTGTGCCGCTGCCAGCCATTTGGTCCGTATAGTCCCTCTCCACTCACCCCACACACCAACCAGGTACGTGTGTGTAAGTCGTCACCATGTGCCTGCGCAAACACACTCATTCACCGCTCCATCCATGTGTGTGTGCGTGTGTGTGGTCCGTTGCCTGCAGGTCCCCTTTATGCGTCGAGCTGCCTGCCAGCGTGTTCTTGATATTCGTTGCATTCGGCGCAGCCTCCACCCCCAACTCACAGACGGTGAGAGATTTGGTAGACCACACCTGTCTTCGCTGCCCCGCGCCCCTCGTGTTATGTTCTTCGGTCCGCTTGTTGTCGGCGCAACCAAGACGCGGCAGTTTCCGCCGCTCAGGGGGCTGACCGTGGCAGTTTTCGCCGTTGACCAACGACTGCGTGGGCAACTGTTCGACCAACCGGGCGACGCCACTACTGCAGCAGAGGCCGTCAGTACTCTGAGTAAGGAAGCCGCTCTACAAGGTCTCCATCAACAACGCTCCACAAGGTGAGTGTGCTGGCGACACGCACAGCTGATTACACATGCCTTGAGGTGTTTCTCTCCCTGTGTGTGTGCCACTGGTTGGCTGCAGTGCTCAGCCAGTGGGTAACGAAGCCGACACATTCACTCTTCACTCCCTGCCACACGTCACCACCACCACCACCGTCACCACCATATTCAACACATAAGGTGGGTGCAGCTGGCCACCACACAGAAGAGACTCACTGCCTCATCTCTGTCTGTCTGTGTGTTGGATCGGTTGCCTGCAGTTGTCTGTTTGCGGATTGTGTACCGGTCGCTCGGCAAGTAAATTGATGACCTCTGCATATGCCAAAGAGGCAGGTGTGCTCATCTTTCAGCCACACAGAACACACCACGTGGTGCGCCCGAGCACTCCTCACTTTTCGTCGTGTGTCTGTCTGTCTGTCTGTTAGTGTCCGTCTCGCTCAGGCAGATCGCTCGCCTCTTTCCGCTCGCCAACCGACGCACAAGCCACACCGAGGCAAGCCATTGGCCATAAGAAAACACTTCGGCTGCATTCGAACGTTTGGGCACCAGTAAAGCACAGCAAAGGAGCTGCAGCCATGTCGGTGGAGTTCCTCCTCGAGAAGATGCGTAGGGCGGCTGCCATCCCCCGCACCAAAGGCGCCGTCACGACGGGCACCAGGGGCCGCATTCAGCCACCGGTCGCCAAGAGCACCACCAACACGGCGGAGAAGGGCGGTGCGTGCGGCAAGTATGTTCCAGGACTGCCGCGGGAGGGGCGGAGCCATGTGTGAGGTGTGCAGCGCCAAGAAGGAGGTGGGCGAGGTGGGAGGGATGGAAGGGAGGTGCCTCTGGGGAGGGCACTCGTGATGCATTGCATTGCGTCCAGATAAACATGGCCATGTGTGTGTGTCCGTGTGTGCAGGAGATCGTCCGCGAGGCTGCCAAGAAGCGCCAGGAGCTCGACTTCTACATGAAGGCCCATCTCTGGTTGCCCCCGAGATGGACGAGCCAACCATCGGCCGGACCCCCCACTTTTCTAGATTCGCCAAGGCCCGCCCCATCAGCCCGCCATGCCCGCCCCACACCGCCAGCAGCACCAGCAGCAGCTGCCCCACGGTGCTGCATATGGCCTGCGACGCGATGGCCAAGGTATGGGCCAGCTGCAGCTGCAGCACCCCCACACACATCTAGGCGGCTGCCAGACACATGGGGGGAGGGGGTGGCCGGCCAACACCGCTGCCTACATTTTATATTTGCTGACACTGGTGTTCATTCTTCTACGCTTATCGGTTTTGCCGGCTTCGCGCTGAGGAGAGTGACGTGCACTTGCCAACCACGTGACTCAGGCTGCCACCTGACCTGCCTGTGTGTGTTGACGGGTGTGGTCTTACGGCCGCAGTGGAGGGATATGAATGCGTGTGTGGGTGAGACGTACGAGAGACACGCTTGCTCCACACCGCTCAAACCTGACGCCATCAACCAAGTATGTCACCATACACAGGTCTGTTGGTCCTTTCCCTCCCCTCAGGAGTGAGTGAGCCAAATGAGCCAAATGCCCCGTGGACACACCGAGGGGTAAAGGTCAGGTCAATCGAGTGCATCACACACACACACTCACACACACCTCAGACACCTACTGCACAGACCAGCTAGCTACAGCTGACCACCCCACCCACTAGATCTTCTTGATGACAAACACGTTGTTCTTGATGCCCAGTGGGGCGTCCTTGTGCCCGTTGATCCGCACCAACTCCTCCCTGAGTGTCACGTAGAACTGCTCAACCTTGGCTGCAACGCCATCCACACTATCAGCGGCATCGTGGTGGCCGCCTGCTTCTTGATGGTCGTCGACCATGAACGAGGTCACCATGCCCTCCGTCCAGCCACGAACCGACGACACAAGCTGCACACAGCAGATGCCGACCCCCCCACACACATGGATACACACATGGGTCTGTGCGTGCGTGTGGGTGTGATCACTCACGCACTCGCTCACCTTGTCGAAGTGCGCGTCGTCGGCTTCCTGATCGTCGTCGGATGTCTCGGTGTGTTGTTGAGCGGGATTGGTGTCCTCCGTCCAGACGGCCTCCAGCTGCAAAGGCAGCTCTCTGTGTGGAGCGGGGAGGGGCAGTGGGCCGCTCGTTGTGGGCCGGCCGTCGATGCCCTCCCACGGCTCCAGCAATGTGGCCATTGGGAGAAGTGTGGCCGGGAAGCAGGCCTTCTTCGCCGTCTCACGAGACACCCTAAAGAGATGCAGACATACACATACACACACACACACGTGTGCATACCTGCGTAAGTGGATGGTGCGTCTGTCCTTACCAGCCGTCGTCGGCCATGATGTTCATGACGTTGTGGATGGCCTTGAACTTCCCGCCGCCCCCCTCCTCTGTTTCGACCCACGACACGACGATGCGGCCCCCCGGGACGAGCTCGGCACTGCGGAGGCGCAGAAACGTCTCCCACTCTCGCTGCTTGACCTAATAAAACCACACCAGACACCACCGCAGACAAAGAGATCTGACCGACTGGCACCGTGTGTGTGTGTGTGATGGGGACACACACGTACCTGCAGCCACGCTTGTGTGGCCTCCGTGTCTGTGGAGCACTGGAAGACCAGCCCATCGGACAGGGGCCTCGGCTGATGGTCCATCCTACACGGGCGTCACAACCGAAACACACGTGGATGGACGAGTGGCTAGGCACCCTCAGATGATACATGTGGGGGTCATGTCAGTGGCACGTAAGTACCAGTGGATCGAGGTGAAGGCAACCACCAAGTGAAGGCTCTCGTCGGGCGCCTGACGCTCGTACTGCCACCAACACACACACAGTCGATCAATGCCGCCCGTGTTGCTTGCCCCTCCCCGTTCCTCACCATTGTCTTGCCGGACGCAAAGGCCATGGCTGTCGGCGGCCCCTCAGCGGCGTAGCCCCACGGCCCATTGACTGTGTTGAAGAGCTCTGACCAGCGGTTGGATGGCAGGTCGTTGTGGATGACACACAAACACCGAAGATGGCCGCCGATCTCATCTCGGTGCTCTTGCATGGCATTCAGCACGGCCGCCATCATGGCTTCGGTCGCCGTGCCGTGACCACAGCTGCACGCAACCAATCGACACAAACAGGATTAACATAGAGTGCCAGATCTGCACGCTCGTCGCTGCCTGCGTCTTCTGTTCGCGCACCCGCAGTCAAGAGCCCACACGGGACCTTGGTTGCCTCTCTCCCTCTCTCCCTTGAGCGTCTTGATCATCCCCTCTGTCACCACTGAGTGCCATCGACGCGCCATACCCTGCAGCAGGCAAACCACAGACACAGCGAATGCCGAATGGAGAATAGGTAGGAGCAGTGAGTGGGCGTGGGTGTCCGCACGCACCTGCTGCCAGTGGGAGGCGTCATCGTACGACTCCCCCATCATGATGACGGGCTTCACGCGGGCGGGATCAGGCGGCATCAGAAAGGAACAGTGTCAACTTGAAGCTCGACGCTGCTGACGAGCGAGAACCTCACAGATCTCAATGTCATCTCTGTCCCTTGACACACAAGAAGCATGGAGAGAGCGCTGTTTCTCCAATTCTCCGATACGGAAGACCTCCCCTGATGCGAGCTCATTGTGAGCGATCGCCCTGCCCCAGCGATTTCATTCATCCAAAGACTGCTATCGCATCCTAGCACGGAACAGTCACACGCAGACGATAGGGGCTACCGAGCGAATTGCAGCGCATATAAGGGACTCTGGCGCTGCAGACGCTTCTCGAGGCCAGGGGGTGAAACATATTGCAGCCCAGCTTCCCCATGGCTACACACACTAGTCACTATGAGTGCTGTTCTGCGCGGACGATGTCGTCGAGTGAGAGAGACACAAACTCCTCGGGGAACCAGCCCTGCTGCCCCCTCTCCTCCACCCACCCATACGTCCACCCGTGAGAAGCCCGCTCAATCACCTGACCACACACAGACAAAAACCCATCCACATCCACCCACAGCCTCAATGCGGCGTGCATTGTGCCGACGCTCATTTGACCCACCTGTATTTGGTCTTGCGGGTAGACGGTAAGCAGTTCGCTCCCACCGTATTCTCCTTTCTTGGCGCGCCAATACCTCGCCGCACTCAGCACTTCTGCTTCCTCGTCTTTCTCCTTCCCATTCTCGCTGCGACCCTCGCCGGGTCGATAGTCATGCTCAGCCTCTTTGCTGTCGTTTCTTGCCGGGCTGCTGTCGTCTTCTCTAGGTCTCAGTTCCTCGATGCTCTGTCTCAGCCGCTCCAGGAAAGATCCAGCGGCACTCGTGTTCTCGCGAGACGTTGATTCGGAAGCGGCCTCTGTGTCGGCTGTTGTCGTCCGCAGGCTGTCGGCCTGGAAGCAGGGCTGCTTGCGCTTGGCTGCCATGGCACTGTGTGGGGCCAGTGAAGGCACGCTGCTGCGGTGGCCGACGGATGTTTCCATCTCTGCCGGTCTTGAGGAAGCCTCGCTCGCACTGCAGCTGGAGCCTTGCAAGTAAGGCAGTTCCAGAGAGATAATGCCGTCCTGCTGCTGCCTTGATAGAGAGAGCCCGCTTGCAAGCATTCCGTGTGCTGAGCATGTTTGTGAGCAGGTTTGTGGTGTCTTCCGTGTGGGCCTGTCATCGTGAGCATCGCGTCTCTTGGGAGATTTGGTTGGTTTCGCTGGGGTGCTTCCCAGCACCAACGCAGTCGCCCTCTTCAGTGGCGATACCGACCAGGATGCCGCCTCTTCTCTAGTCTCTTCCTCGAAGCTGCCGAGTGTGCTGCCCGCCGGATTGGCGATGGAGTTTTGTGGGTGCACCTCGTCTGCAGGTTGAGTTTCGGGTCGGCCAAGCCACAAGATGGTCGCCGGGGTTTTGGCAGTGAGGCGCTGTCGCGACGAGTTTGACGCCTTCAGCAGGCTTCCAGGGCCCAATGCAAGTGTTCGCCCTTCATCAGATGATTGGTTCATTAGGTAGCCCGATTCTGTCCGACGCAAACAGTGCAAAATGTGCATCGAAGGAGCAAGGCGTTCATGTCTCGTTTCGTTCTTACCGATTACGCCGGTAGGCGACCTGGATTGGCCATCCATAGAAGGGATTTCCACCTTCGCTCCTTCATGGTAGATCTCCATCCTTGCATTCGCGATGAGATCCTCAAGCAGGTGTATGTCTGGCTGCTCGTCATGAGCCATCAGAATCTTGTACAGCCACTGACGACGAGCAGCATGGAGCGTGTCTCCCTCTTTGCATGCCACAGCACCGGTCGGTTCCTTTGGGATGCATGTGGGTCCATCTGAATGCATCGTTTGTACCCACGCAGGCACCGCTGGCTTCTCAAAACCGTCGAGAGATGCTGTGAGTGAGGCGAAGGAAGCTTCGTGCTCTTTTGTGTCGACGACCTAAAGATTCGGAGAGGGATGACAGTTGCTGAAGCGTCTGGGCATCCCATCTGTATTCTACCTGGTCGCATGTGGGCAAGACAGCATCGATATTCTCGCTTCTCAGCTCATGCATTCGGATTGGCTGTCCACCTGAACCAAGAAGGTGCATTGCCATCCATCCAGCCTGCTGCCTTCTCGTTACTGTTCACTGCCCTCCTACCTGGTCTGAGCGGAGGAAGTGTCTCGCCGCTTGCAGAGCCATCATTTATCAGATCTCTCTTCTTCACATAATACTCGAGTGCACCCACCTGCAGACAGCGAGGAGCAGTCTGTGAAAGGGAGTGATTGGCAGGGAGCCATTGGATGTGGTTGTATACCTGAGACGATTGCAGGAAATGGAAACGGACGTCTTCGTGGATCTCCGCCAGGGCGCGGCGATGGCTGGCCACTGATGCCTCCAGCAACCTGACGACAGGCGAAAATGCGTTAAGTCTTCAATCAATGCACGACTAAATGAGAGCCACGTGGGTGAGAGTGACGCATACCTCAGCTTGTCTTCGTATGGAGAGCAGATGGCATCCGCATGCTGAACGAATGATGTATCGGCAAAGTCATGTCGAGACAGGCAGATCGCCTTGCACCATGCTCACCTGTTGCAGCTCTGCTTCCTTGGTACTGATGTTTGTCCGCAGTGTCTGTGTGAAGGCGAAATGCAGCTGAATCTAGCTGTGCTGTCTAGCGTTTTGCGTTGATTCTGTACTTTGAATGTGTTCCGAATCCTATCCTTGAACGAGTGCAGCAGTCGTCGCATCTCCATCTGTGGTGAGACATATCAATTACGGAAACAGCAAAGTCATCAATCGGTAGTCTAAATACCCATGCCGTCTGACCTTCTGCTGCTCTGCAAGAGAAACGATCCGCCTCAGCCGTGCCACGTACTCGTCCACCTGGCGGGCCTCACTCTCGAGCTGTGCACACAGCCACACACATGTAAGCAGGGCTCGACAACGCAGAGAAGCGCTGCTTCTCCTTTACCTTCTCTCTGTATCCTGTGCTTTGGCTCCCCTGCGCAGACGTAGAGGCGCCCACAGAGTCCCCACAGTGCTGAGATTGAAGTGCCGACGCCGAGGGCGCTACGTGTGCTTCATGTGACAGTTCTCGAGGCTGTCTTGGGCGCTGCATATGGAGAGAAAAATGACAGCAAAGAAGAGACATCGTTCCTCAGATAACTGCACACTTGTGTCTGACTGACCTTTGCAGTGCTGCCAGCCAATGAGCGGAGCCAGGCGTCCTCGATAGCGGCCGAGCCGATGGTGTGGCCCTGCATGTCTGGGGCTTCATGCCGGAGGACGCAGCACTCACTGCAGAGGAACGAATCGCAGCTTCTGTGCACAAACACAACAGAGGAAAAAGCGGATGCACTCAAAAACTGTCTTTCCCCGTGTGTGTATGACGTACCTGCAGAACATCGTTGCCCTCACCCGACCGCAGCTGCAAGTGCGCTGCGAGGATGCCATTAGAGAGTCCGTGAGTGTGAGCGAGGAACGACGTCCAGACGCGTTCGGCAACACCACAGACACTGCGTCATCCATCATCCTATCCCTTCTTGCAGTGATTTCCTTCTGCAAACTCTGCGAGCTTTTCCCCTTCGAAAAGGAAAGGCATTCGAGACTGAAATGACGTGGCTCAGTACGAGTGTGACGTTTCTTTGATGGTTGACGCCCTCCCGCAGGGCTTCCACGTACCCAAGCCATCCCCGGACCTGTCTCACGTGTCGTACCGGCTTAGTCGGCACTCCGCCAACGTGAGCGCCATGCCATCGCCGTCTGGCGGCTACCCCGCCCTCTCCCACCCCCACACGGAGCACCATCCCCACGACGCCGCCTTCAGGGCCGCTGCCGGGGACAGTGGTGTCAATCTTGCGCCGCCGGACGGTCACTGGTCGATAGAGGTGGACATGGTGGTGTCTGCTCGGTTTCAGCACAGAGATTTCGAAGAGGCAGGTACGACTGACACCAAGATGGCACAGGCAGACACAAGGCTTGGCTTGTGTGTCACTGCTTGTGCGTGTGGATGTCCATGTGTGTGTGTGTGTGTGCAGTGGTGTTGGACAAGCGTCTGAAGCCGGGTCACCGCCACACGTACGAGTACTACGTGCACTACAAGAAGCACAACAGGCGGCTCGACACGTGGCTGACGGCGAAGCACATCCGCCCGCGCCTTGGCTACCAGGGAACGCCTTCGGTGCGCACAGACGCCGACAGCGACCTGCCCGAGCCCGCCCGGCCTAACAAGAAGAAGAGCGAGAAGAAGCACAATGGCAAGCGGAAGCTCGACGCACTCTCGGTACAGAGCGATGGTGCCGAGAGCTCCGAGCACGAGGGCATGGACCGGGCGGCGCTGCAGCAGCACGAGCAGGCCACTCGCGTCAAGACCATCACCCGCATCCAGTTCGGCAAGTACCTCATGGACACCTGGTACTTCTCGCCCTTCCCGCCTGAGTACCAGAAGCCCCCCGCCAACCATGGCAGCGGCCAGCAGCAACAGCAGCAGCAGCAGCATGCCCAGCCTTGCCACCCCCACCACTCAGGGCAGTGTTGCGGCACTTCGTCGTCGAGTCCGTCGAAGTGCCGTCGCGTGTTGTCTGGTGACATGGGGGGCCATGAGGGGGAGCACACGTTGTATTTCTGCGAGTTCTGCCTGAGCTTCTATCGGTACCAGTCGGAGCTGCAGAGGCACTCACGGTACTGCTCGCTCAGGCACCCACCTGGCGACGAGATCTATCGCAAGGACAAGTGAGTCGGGCAGGCAGACCCACACAGACACAGACACACACGCAGTGGTCGACCGCCATTCTCTCTCTCTCTCTCTCTCTGTGTGTGTGTGTGTGTGTCAGCTTGAGCGTGTTTGAGGTTGACGGCTACCTGGCTAAGGTGTATTGCGAGAACCTCTGCTACCTGGCCAAGCTGTTCCTGGACCACAAGACGCTCCAGTACGACGTGGAGCCGTTCCTCTTCTACGTCCTCTGCGAGGTGAGCGAGGGACACAGCCCAGCCGCACGTGTGGCTGGCGCCTCAATGATGTCGGTTCTGTTATCGTCCGTCCATGGGTCCGCGTGAATGAATCGATCAGTATGAGGAGGGCGTGGGGTATCACCTGGTGGGGTATTTTTCAAAGGAGAAGCGCTCGGCACAGGACTACAATGTCGCCTGTATCCTCACGCTGCCCCAGGTACCACCACACACACACACACACACACGAATGGATGGATGGATGGATGGATGTGGATGTGTGTGTGCAGCACCAGCGGAAGGGCTACGGGAAGTTCCTGATCCAGTTCTCGTACGAGCTGAATCTGCTCGAGAACAAGACGGGCAGCCCCGAGAAGCCCCTCAGTGACCTCGGCAAGGCGTCCTACAGGGCCTACTGGACGCAGGTGCTCCTGCCCATCATCGACAAGGCAGACAACAGCATCTCTATAGAGGTCGGTGGGCTTAGGTGGGCGGGGGGTGGTGGGAGGCGGCAGAGAGGGGTGGATGTGATTGGGTGTGTCGGTGGTCTGTGTGTGTGTACGTGTGTGTGAGTGCAGGAGTTGAGCAGGCAGACGGCCATCAAGGCAGAGGACATTGAGAAGACACTCAAGCAGATAGGAGTGCTCAAGTGCGTGAGCTGAGCAAGACAGACAGGCAGACAGACAAGGGCATGACCGCACTTACTTAGCTGTGTTGACTTGACGTACCCATGATCTATGTATTGTGCAGGTACTTCCATGGCCAGTACATCCTGACTCTAGGACCAGGCACCATGGAGCGGCTCCTCAGGTACCTGAGGCAGGCACCACACCATTCCAACCACATGCTCACATCTGATCTGCCCACCTTCACTGTCCTGTCTGCCTGTGTGTATTTCCTTGGTTGGTTGCTAACAGGGAGGCTGGGAAGCCCGGCGTGCCAGTGGACCGCTCCGCCCTGCACTGGACGCCCTGGTACTTCGCCCCGCCAAAGGAGATCACCCCTGACGGCAACACACTCAGGCGGTCACCCTCGCCATCTCCCAGCGGCGGCAAGGAGTGAACGGACTGGACGGATGCTAAGTGGAAGACTGAATGAGAGGAACCAAGGCTCTCATCAAGGCAGCCAGCGTGCGGTCCATGTAGAGGGAAGGAGGAGGCAGGGCGGGGCGGACGGCTGCCTTTTTGTGGCAGACACCTGTGTTGCGGTGGGGGTGATACTGTGGCGTGGCGGGTGATGTGTAGAGAAGGGGCGGGGCTTCCTTGGGTGGTGTGGTGTGTGGTGCGGTGTGTGCTGTGTGTATGTGGTGTGTTGGCTAATGTTTGTGTTGTGATCGCCTACCCTGTCATTCATGAGATCGATGAATGGATATACCGAATTCACTCCACTGACGCGACGCATCATGATGGGCGTGCAGTGCAGCCGATGTCTGTCGACAGGAAGGGCAAGACGCCTGCCTCCGATTGACGATGGTTGCCATGACACTGACATATGCGGCTGTGCCTCCTTGGTGTCTTTCTCTGGTCTCTGAGAAGGTTGGCGTTATCCTGGTGGCATTGCAAATGCTTGTTGCGGTGTCATCGGAATGACGGCAGCTTATCAAGAGACCGAGAAACTCACGGAAGACGTCCATAAGGGAACTCCAGAATGTGTGCCTCAAACCTGCAGCTGAGCTCGCTCCAGCCGTACCCTTTTTTGTCGATCTCGCTTCAGATCTGCGCAGTGCCCGCACGCGTGAGGCCCTTGACTCACACCTCGCGTCGCTTGCGAGAATAATTAACATCGGCAGGTGAGCAACACACCGCCGTCAGTGACAGAGATCACATGCCCTCCAACCGCTGCTTGTGGTTTCTGTTGCAGCCAAGGGCGAGGCGCAGGTGTGCTGCTTGTCCCGCCTGTGTGAGCAGCAGCAGCAGCAGCAGCAGCAGAAGACGCCCCCTGTTGCTTCATCGGCATCAGCGCCGACCGGAGGTCGAAATGAACAAAACCGGAGCGCAGCGCCCATCAAAAGCCGAGAAGAAAAGAGCAAAAAAGGTGCGGTCCGATACGGAGGCACCACTCTCACTAGATGGGTGACAGACAGGTGTGAGCACGTGTCCTTGTGCGTGTGGTGTGTGTGGTGCATGTGTGTCAGGCCAAGAGACGTAGTGCTGCGCTTGATGCGAGTCAGGATGGCCGTGAGGGTGACGCGACGTCGACTGCACCAGACAAGCCACCGGGGGAGTCCCGCACGTTAGCCGTGCACGAGTCGATACAGCTCGACATGTCCGCGTCCTTGGCCAAGCTCTTTGCGGATGCGCCTCGCACCAGCAGCCTCATCCAATCGTTAGATGCCGCTTGCCCCTTCAACATCAAGGACCTCTTCGACCTCTTCCGCCTACAGCTGGCAGCCGCCGCGCGTCGCTGCATCCCGTCTTGCCGCCTCCTGAGACGCCTAATGTGTATCTGCGTCTGCGGAGTGGTTGATCTTGACACGCTGCAGAAGGCCAGCAGGGAGGGAAGGCTCGACGCCTGCGTCAAGGCCGTCCGTCAGATGGCTGAGCAGATGGCGTCTGAGGCGCATCTGCAGAGGCTGCTGTCGGTCAAGATGTGGCGGTTTCTCGTCATCCTCATCGAGGACATCGCCGACCAGCTGGAGGTGAGCGAGGGAGCGAAAGGCAGGCAACGAGGCTTCACACATGCGGTGTCATCTTGCCGTGTCGGTCAGGCTGACTTTCCGCTGTTCATCGAAACCATCGAGTCACTGCGGCGGCCAGCTGTCGCTGAGTCACTATCGACCACCACCGCCGCCGCCGCCGCCACTACCACCGCCCCAGGTAGTGTTCACCTGCCTGTCTTCCCCCCGGACATCGACCCCGTCCAGCTGGTGCTGCAGCACTCCCCATCAACCTACCACCGATTCGTCGAGGCCCGTCTGCTCCCCTCTGACCGCCTCACCCGGCTGCTGGAGCTCTTCAGAGTCGACAAGGGGCCCAGCGACATGAGGGACGATTCCTACACGTGGGACAGATTCCTCGACGAGTATGTGGCAGCTGACTGTGCACTGAGCGAGGGAGAGGGCCACAAGCGTCTCGGGTCCTTCACAGTGAGTGGCGCCTCTGGCTCACTCGCGGCCCTCAACGGCAGCTATGTTATCCGCCCCACAGAGGACGAGCAGGTGACGCTCGTGGCGTCGCCCGATGGCGCACTCGCCTATGTGGGCGAGAAAGTGGTCTTCGAGCGGCTGGTGTGTCCGACCAATGAGGCCGTATTCGACGAAACAAGAGTCGTGTGGGTAGCGTACGAGCCAGCGACAGCCCAGCAACCGACTCCTCGGCTGCTTGTCGTCGGTCTTGGCGACGCCGACATGCCAGGGGCGGCGTTTGCAGCGCACCCGGGCTTTTCGTCTCCGGCTTTCGAGACACACCAGTGGTACACTGTCGATGAGGGGGCACAGCTCGTTCCGGTCGATTTCAGCGTCTCGGCCGCCATCCCCCTCGACTCATACGTCTGCCGCTCGACAATTGATCCGATGAGCCGTAAAGTGGTCGCGGACCTGCGTCACTTTCAGGCCGTATCGTTCATATGCAGGGCCATCAGCGATTCTGCCGACTCTCTCGTCGAAGGACCAGGCACACAGCTTGTGGCGTACTACGTATCCCCTTATGTCATGGAAAGTCTGCCCCCTTCCGCACACAACCCCGAGCCGCTCACCGGTGTGGCCTCAGAGCGGCGGCCCACTGCACGTCCGATGGGAGAGCGGCCCCTGAATTTGCGCGACAGTGAGAAGGCCATCCGCCAACTTGGCCTTATGCGCCTGTCGGACGAGTGGTCCACACGGCCCTTCGCCGAGTGGCCCCAAGCAGCATTATTGCAGTTTCTGGGGAATGGCGGGATGGTTGGGGGGCGCTTGGAGGGCGCCCGTGTTGCTGTCGTGCGGCCGGAGGTCCTCGTCAGCGGCAGGTGCGCCTTGTGTGACGTCCAGCCGCCCGTCAGCACACTCGGCGATATGCCCCTGTTGCACTCGCCATCACTTGTGTCGGCTCATCAAGACCTGGCATACTTGAGCACGGGGGGAGTGTGGACGCTGAGGGCCTTCTCACAGGAGCTGGTCTGCGGCAAATGCTCATGTGCAGAGGCCAAAGGCACCACAAGTCACGTGCTGGGCCTCCTCGCGGCGCTCTCTGAAGGGTACGCGCGGACGTCAGTCACACTGACTGCCTTCCTTGATGTTGTGGTGTTATGGATGTGTCTGTGGCTCGTGGTGTGCAGGGACGATGCCTCGGACGACGGTGGTGCAACGGAGACACATCCAGCAGCGGCTGCTGCTCGGCCGTCTAGGCGAGACACGAGGCAAGGCAGAAGCCCACTGCTCACACTTGCCCTCTCACATTGATCTGCTATCCGTCCTTCTTCCTCCCCGTTAGTGACATCATGGTGAGCCGCGACTTCCTTCTTGACATCCTCAGGCCCGCAAGCCCTTCTGCCGCGTCCGGCCAGGGCGACTCGGACCTAGAGGAGACCACTCGCGGCCAGGCAGCGACACCCGCTGGCACAGACGAGGAGTCCACAGGCACGCCTCAAGCCGCAGTGGCTGCTTCGGAGGCAAGTGGCTCTGTGAGCATCGAATGGGCCTTTGGCAGCACGCAGTACCTAAGGGGTCTGCTGGCGCGGGAGGGCCCATGGGAGTGCGGTGTAGACCTGCGAGCGCTCTTTGAAGGGCTCGCCCAGAAGCTCAAGGACCTTGACTTGGACATTGCCTTCGGGCCTCTCTTCAGACTCCGACGGATTATCGTTCGCCAGGTCGGGGGGGGGGGGGG